TTTTTGAATGATATTAAAATGTATTGAGATTTTTATTACTTATGATTTATATCCTTGATATAAAGTTATATCAAACCAATATCTTATGTTATTAATATAAGACATCTTTTAAGAAAATTTTAGTATATGAAAATGCCTCTTTTTGATGAATATAAATATTGATTCAATTTTTTTGTAACAAAAATAAACTTACAACATTAAAAAATATGACTTTATTATAATAGTTTAGATTCATTAAATAATAAAATTCTTTCAAAAAGTGTTATATTTGACCTTATTGAAAATATTATTGTAACCACTTTTGAAAAAAATAATATAATAATAAAATAAATAAAAAATAGAAGAATAAAAATTAATTTATATAATTTATTTTTTTTATAATTTATATAAAATAGATAGTATATAAAAATAGACTTGAGTTGATGAAGTTGAGTTTTTAAAATTATTTTTACCATTGCACAATTATTTTTATTTAAAAGTATATGATTTATACAACTTAACTTCTAAAATTTATTTTTAATATGTTTTTTAAAACATGGTTTAGAAAAAAAAAATTACAACTCTTGTGATTATTATTAAAGAAATTCACAAGTTTCTTGATATAATTATAAATTATTATAAAATAAATTTATAATATTAATTAATAATTAATAAAAATTTAAATTATAATGGTTTTACATTACTTTGATTACTATACAATAAGAGCTTCTAAATCCAATACAATACATTATAATTAATAAAAAAAGTCATATTATTTACAAAAAAATATATTTTTATAATTTTTTTGTATAGACCCATCAGTTATAACGTAGAATGTAGCTCAAAAATATGATACATTGGTATAAAAAATTAAAAACTACAAAAGACATCAATAGATTATAAACATTATATTTAAAGAATATTTATTATTTAAATTTTTAAGCATTTGATTATAATAAAAATAATTTTATTTTACTATGTTAATTGTTTATAAATAAGGAAACCAAATTATACATAATTTTTTTTATGTTTTTGTATTTATATAAAGTATTATTATTATTATTATTATTATTATTAAATCTGATAATATTTAGAGATCTATTATAAGTTATTAATGATTAAAAAAAATTTAAAAATCTATTATCACAATTTTCCTACTTACTTTAGATAGTAAAAGTGTTTTATAATACTAAAAACCAAAGAATAACTTAGAGAAGAGTATTGCATTGGTATGTTAAATAGAAGGCTTTAAAGTCCCAAGGGTCTAAAAAATACAATTAGGCACAAAACAAAGCCATATGCATACCTTATTTAGATATAAGTGCAATCTATTTTACATAGCATACTTGCAGAAGAGTCTTGTAAAAGAACATGAAATGTTTTAGCAAAATTACACAGTGATGTAAGAAAAATAAAACAAAATAAAACGGATTGTTTCAACTCTAACAATAAATCTAAAATAAATTCCCAGAACTAACAGAATATAGATTTTATATAGGAAAAAATAGTGTTAAGTTGAAAAAGACGATCACACACTTTAAAGAAGGCAGGATCCTTGTTTATTTTTATTTTTATATGCAAAAAGAGTTTTCAAATAATATTAATTTAATTTTTATAACTTTTTATACGTTTAGTTTAAATTCTTGTACACAAATACAAGTTTTGTATGTTAATAATAAAAATTGTAACATCTAAAATTTATAATATATATGTTAAAATTAGTTATCAAATACTAATTAAAACACATTGTTTTCTTTTATATATATATATATATATATATATATATATATATATTCTAAATTTCTATTATTTTTTATTTTTTAAGACTCTTAATATTAAAATCTTCTTTGGTTGTATTTGCAAAAATACATGAAAAGTATTTGTATATTAGATACAAGCAATAAGGATTGATTTGCTAATTTCATTGTAAATGTCTTACTTCTATCATAAATTCAAAATATCTATCTATCTACATTTAGACATAACTAGGAATAATATTAAAAATACAAAAAAATTTAAATGTAAGAAATGTTTTTCAAGAAACATGTTACTTCTGAAAAACTCTAATCTAAATACATAAAATTATGCAAAGAAATAATCGAAGAAATAATTTAAAATTTAATAATTCATTAAATGCATAATAAACATAAATTTATGTATAAATATATATATATATATATTATGTCTATATATATATATATATATATATCTCTTTTAACCCAAAAAATAAAATGTATTTTAACTTTAATAAAATTAAAACACAAAGTCAGCATATTAAATAAATATACAATATATAAAATAATAAAACATACAGTCATAGTTACAAATCACGTAAAATATTCTGTGATTTAACATTTGTTACATATCTCACTTAGCTTTCTTGTTCTGATATATAATATAAGAATCATAATTTCAACTTTAATATTATACATTTTATGTTTTATTCATTGATAAATGAGTTATTATATTTTTAACTTAATATAAAAAATATCAAAATCACATATATATATATATATATATATATATAACGCACTTGTGCTGATTTGGCAACCACTGTCATGGTTGGCTTGGACTGGAGCTTGCCAAGGCAAACAAAAAATAAGCAATTCCAGAAGGATGTGAACTGTTCGGGATGAATGTCAAAGGATGGCCATCCAAGGCAAGGCCCTGCACATATATGTGTAAGAATATATATATATATATATATATATATTTTGCTTGAATGTAATACTCTCTACAAAATAAATGCTCACATTTCAGTGAAGGCTCTGCACAATAACTTCACTCACAACATTAGCTTGTGTAAACTATTCTTTAAACTTTTGAAGAAATTCTAGATCACAAGCAGCTGATGAGTGGAAAATTTCCTCTAAAGTAATGTAGCACATTGTTTCATTGGTAAAGGTGGAATTTTATTTATATATATATATATATATATATATATTTTGTCAGTTGTTGTTTTCAAACCCAACTGTGGGGTTGCATTAATTGAACAATAATGTGCACTGGTTCCATTCATTTAACCAATGTCAACTTAACATGTAAGGACTGCTAGTGAATTACATTCATTGATTTACAGACTTTGAAAGGTGTAGTGATTCTGAAAATGATGTGCACATGATTTTATTGTTGAGGTAGATTGGAGGAAAATGTTATTAAAATCTTAATAGCCTGTGTAGGTGAAAGGTTTCTTCCTATTGGTTTATTTTACTTTCTAGATGGGCTTGTGCCTTGTGGTAGCATTGTTGGTAAGGTTTGAGACCTTAGAAACAAAGGCAGAGAATTAGGATGGTTAGGTTTACCCTTCTTATTTGCTACTTGGGAAGATGCTAGTGGGTAGTGTGGCCCTCAACTAATTCTCCTACTTTATTATTTTATTTGTTATTGTGTACCTTTGTGTTGTCTATGTGATAGCTACAATAATTTGTGACCAACACGGTCCAAATTCCTGAATTCATTGAGAAGGGTTGATTTGGCACTGTCCCTTGTTGGAGAATGTAGAACCAGAAATTTTTCCAACACAAAATGCCACAAAGTCCATCTTTTGAAGGAATTTTACAGATGTGTATTGATTACATTAGACAATGATTATTTGAGGCACTAAAGTGTTGTGATTTTATACAAGATTATTCACTTCAAAAAGACATAAAAATTCTGTTCTTCATGAACGTACATAATGAACGCAAAGATTTTATTACTTTGCTACTACAATCAAATGAAAAAACAACATAATTACTAGAGTTTATCAGTATGATAATAGGAAAACATATTATAAATTCAGAATTCACTGCTTTTACTTGATTATTTTTTAAAAAATACCAAAAACTATATATATATATATATATATGTTTATTTATTTATTTGAGTAATATGTTTATTTAAAATCAATGTAGTTTTTCTTTCTACAACAATATTTTTTATTTTATTTTTTATCATGATTTGAATCTTTCAAAATATGTAAGTATATATGCGTATATATATATATATATATATATATATTTGTATAGAATAATATTTTCATAAAAAATAACTTTTTAACACTATTGAAGAAAACAAATGTATTGGGGACAAGTGAACTATGATTACTTATTATTGAAAATTCCAATCATAAATAATTTGAATTAAATAAGTACCTGATTTACAAGTAAAATATGCCAAAACAACATATCAAGTTCATTGATATAGTTATACTATTCACAAGTGCTCATAGAAGTTAATAACAATTACAGTCCATTTACATAAAAAATGTAAAACTGTCGTTAATTTTTTTCTATTTAAACCAACTAGATAAGTGCAAAAGAGAAAATACTTGATTTTAATATATGCGTTTTTTTTTAAAATTTCTTGAATTGTTTAATAGAAAAAAGAAAATATATTACATATATAGATTTTTATGTCATATTTTTCAATTCTACAAAACTTAAGTTAATTGAAATTTAGAATTGTAAATACATCACATAAATAGCAAGATCTAAAATATGTAAACCTAAATTTAATCTTTGCAAACATATGTAATTACAAGATTAAAATCATTCAAGGTTGTGTTTTTTTTTCTTCTAAATCTTATTCAGGAACAGGCAAGAATTAATTAAGCAAATAATCAAACTTATTCCACCATATAATACAAGAGGCTAAGTCTCAGTTACAAAACAAAATAACAATTATTATTATTATTATTATTATTATTATCTAAATATAAATTGTGATTATTATAAAATAACGATGTTGTGAAACTCATCATTTTCATATCATCAAACATCCATGCACTCTCTCTCTCTCTCTCTCTCACACACACACACACATATATATATATATATATATATGAATTAAAACATTCAAGCAAGCAAGCAAGGTGGATGCAAAGCAGGCAGGCCCCACAAGGAATGAAACGCGGCCGAGAATGGGCCCCAGAACCCGGACTCAGATACGAATCCACACTCCCCCTCTCCCTATACTCATACACTGTATTATTAGTTTGTAGATGTATAGCTATATGGATAGAGTTACATATATATACATATATAGAAACAAACAATCAAACTGTGAGCCAAAGCAATATAAGATTCATATCAGGGACCTGATGGATCGATAGTGTGCGCTTCAGATATCCGGGGTCTGGCGATCTTCAGCTGCAGCTGCAACACACTTGGGTGACATGGTCTGAGGAAGTGTGAGTTGAGATGCAATGGATCAGTGCTCTCATCTGCAGGTGTTCAGGAGATTGAGAGCTTAAGAGCATGTTGGGAATAATATCATCTTCTAAGATGATCTCAATGCTGGATTAGTTCAGAGTTATTAACTGATTAGTGTGTGACTTGGGTGAGAGTGGGTTTGCAGAAGCCCCTTTGGCCTTGGTATCCTCGCCGTTCAGTGGCACCGTGTGTGTATAAAAGATGTCCCTGCGATGGGTTTGGGTGCTATTACTTTTGAGTAGCACTTGCGCGGGTGCCGATGAGATGAGAGCTCAGGTCGCGGCAGCGATGAACTCAAGGTTCCCACACACCATGAGAGCGCTGGGCAACGTCACCGACAGTCTGCAGCTGGTGGCTTCGGAGGGTGGGGTCATTGCCGACGTGTGCACGCGGCAGATTCAGAGCGCCAACGAGGCTCTGATTTGGGTCAGGAACCAGCTCGCGTGCACCCCATTGCAGGAATTGGCCGACTTCTTTCGAAGTGCGGCGAAGGCAGTGTCATCTTGCAATGCGTTCCTGGCAATGCGCGCTGTAAGCCAGTCGATCGAACTCCCTCACCCCATGATTGATTGCTGCTCCACTTGATGTGTGTGTGTGTGCAACCGCGTCGGGTATTTATTATGAATCTGTACACGGAGATGATCTCTGACAGTTGCGGGAATTGGCAATTTCAGGATACTCTGCCAGTTTCGATGGTCCATACCAGTGAGTGGGCGCTGATGACGATGAAGGAAATGCTGACACAGCTGTCTTTAGACGCAGAGGCGGTGGAGGTTCTCGACCGGGATGTCAGTGAGACGAGTGGTGCTCCTCTTGTTGCCAGTTCCGAGTCGTCTTCCACCGAATCCAAGGTGGTAACTCCATGTAAGTAATTCTTTCCGTATAGTTTGTTGTGTTTTACTTTTGCGATTGTACCATGACTTGGATACAGTGCGACAGTTGTTGGTTAAGATTGTGCTGACACACATGAGTGTCTTGTTTCGGTTTCATTCGATGACATGTGCTGCTGATCCGTGACAGCTGATTTCAACGACGAAGCCATCCAAGGATGCGCCACCATCCACCCGACAAACTGCCAGTTCTCCGTATGCGGGAAGGGGAGGCGTCTCCCGCTCTGCGCATTCGGCTACGCTGCAGGGGTGACGGGAGGCTTGATGGGCAAGTCTTATGTCGTAACGAACAACGAGGACGACCATAAGAAGCCTTCGCCCGGGTCGCTACGATACGGGGTGAACCAAGGCGGTCAAGCAAATGGCGGAGTGTGGATCACATTCGCTAGAAGCTTTGAGATCAGGCTTACAGACCTGTTGTGGATCAAGAGCGGAACTACTGTCGACGGACGAGGATTCAATGTCACCATAACAGGGCGAAGCATGGTGTTGTGCGGAGTTTCCAATGTCATCCTCCACAACTTCCAGATTAGCGGAGTGGGGGAGAGCGACACGGTGCACATCTTTGCGGGGTCAAGCCGAGTCTGGGTGGATCACCTCACCTCTAAAGACGCGAAGCTTGGGTTGGTCTCCGTGCTGCAAGGCTCAACAGACGTGACGATTTCCAACTCGCATTTGTCCAACTACAATTTTAACATGCTGTTGGGCGCTTCGGACTTCGACAAACAAGATGCGGACATGCGAGTGTCGGTGTATCGGAACTGGTTCAAAGACTCGATGCAGCGGATGCCGCATTGCCGGTGGGGACGGTGTCACGTGCTCAATAACTTGTACTCAAACTGGGGCTACTACGCGTTGGGTGCGCGAGTAGGTGGGAAGATTTACTCTGAGTCTAATGCATTCGTGGCAAGGAGGCGAGTGGAGGTTACACCATGGTTTAATGGGATAGGAGCGAACTACGACAACAGCATTTTCATTAAAAGCTCCAAAGACGTCTTCCTCAACGGCACCACTTTCCACCAGTTCTTGCATCCGCATACCATTGGATCACACGAGCAAAACGTGGTTTACAAGAATAACAAAATGTATCCTGCGGTAATTCCTCCGGAAACCTTGAATAAGGTATTGCCCAATTGTGTTGGTGCTGTCTTCGGGTATAGACTTTCCCAATGCTCTACATAGACGGGAGGCTCTCATCAATAATCCAAAATCCTACCATGCTGACAAAATACTCAACCATATGCAATCAATAAAATTGGCATCATGAATCTATGATTGTATGTAAACCATTGCCATACTCTACCCCTGGACAACCGGCCATAAATAGTTATTTATCTGCTCAATCAACACGTCAACTGCATAAAAACTGGTTCAGCTGGGCAAAAGAGAACCACTCATAAATAGTCTGAAGGTAGTAATAAACTGCTACCGTGTGTAGGGCACTCGTGTGAAGACCTTGTACCTAGTAAGGCCAATCTTGAGTCTGCCTCCAAATAGAAACCTTAGCCCTATTTCATTGATGAGCAAATTTACACCTCGGTCAAGAGGACCTCTTCTTTGTGCTCACATCGTTACGCCGAGGATGAGATACCAAATTTGATCTCTTAGCCGTGCATTACTTCATGAGCGTACACAGGACTGACTCCTTGCGAGTAGTTTTTTTCTGGGTTGATATATTCCAACCGCAGCTGTAGTCTCTACAATAAAGGGGAGCCGAAAACTCGAGGCTGATGGACGTGGTTGAGAAAACGATTTGCCAGACTCAAAAATCCAAACTCCCCGAACATGAATGCAGCAATAATTGCACTATGTGAGATATACCAAAAATTGAAAGTCATTGTAAGACTCTTTAAGGGTCGGGGATGATGGTTTTAGTAAAAGCGTATTGTGTAAATGAGTCTTCTCCTATGTTGTCTTTCGAACCGAGAGATAATATCATCGATTTCGTCTTCCCAAGCGTCTGCCAGTTCAAGCTGCACACCACCAAGTAACAACTATCTCTGAAAACCATAACTAGCCAAGGCTCAAATATCCATCCATTATGCAAAAATTACTTGGGAATTGTGCACAACCATTATCCATGCATCTTGCACCTGCCTTGACTTGCTAGCTCTTTTTAAGTCAAGTAATGAACACGTTCTTACCTTTTGGCACAGATCAAGAGCAAGTTTGCCGCCGATAGCAGCCTCTTCATGATTGTCTTTTACATCTAGATTGATTATTAACGCTACGTTCAGTAACCTCACCTCCCTATTTTCAAGATCTGCAGTTGAAATAACACAACCAATGTCTATCTCAGAGAGATGTGAGGTAACTCGGGGAATAAATTGAGACCAACTTTGTTTTCGATCAAAAGGACTATCTGATTCATGTCAACCAATTCATGTTCACCTATTCTGAAAGCTAAATCTCACACTTCACAAACAGTTGAAAACCAGTGTCAGGAATCGTAGAAGATATGCAGAAAAATAATTTAGCAGGCAATGTACCATCAATCACCATATTAAAAACTCGTTCTTCAAAGGTGAAGACTACATCAAAAGCACCATCTGCTGCGTTGTCTTGCCATCGCTGAGGTGCTTCCTTCACACCTACATTACGTTTCAACATTTGCAGTAGACCATTCCGCTTATATCTACACCTCCAAAATCAAGGCAAAAACAGTTACAATAAAAGAATATTAAACTACGATTCATGTACATGTCATCCTCCTCGCCCACTGACATGCAACTTCTATTGCAAGAAGAACCGTTCTTTGAAACTCTTTTTGTGAAGTTTTAAAAATAGACGCTAGTCAAATCTAAATTCTCATCGAAGTTCCTGAATTTCTTGAAGAAACAAAACCTCCAGCGGCCCTTTTTAAGGACACGTCAATGCAGCTTTACATTACACATTATTCAATATTTTCATTCCATGTCAGTTCATATACATCGCATTTACACGAGAAGAACTGTTTCGAGATGCACAGACGGCGTCCTACTTACTACAACGCCCTAGCCCCAATGAATGGAATGCGTATCCCAGAGAGTGAAAATGAAGAAAAAGGCCACAAAAACCAGTTCTATGAAAATAGAATGCAGAAGACAAGGCGGCAAGGTCTTCACATTGAACCAAAATTCCGTCTAAAAAAGTGTTTCCCATGTGTGTGATCCGACAGCTAAACCCTACTCAAAATGCCTCACGATACTCTTGACTTGCAAACCAACAGCACTTACAAAGAAACAAATGAGTAATTTTCAAAATTTCAAAAGGAGAGAGAGAAAAAATAAATAAATAAATAAGGGGAGGGGGAGAAGCTACAATTCAGGGTTTTTATTCGTGAGATCCTCCAGAATACTCCGATAAGGCGTGCCGAAGGCGTACACATTCGGTTCTCGAATCGACGGGCCAGGCAGCTTCACGTGTGACCCCGTCCCGTAGGAGCTCACATCCAGCCCCTGCCGTTGCAGCAACGCGTGCGCCTCCATGCTGCGGTTCTGGTTGCTAGCGCACACCATGGCATGGCGCAGCTTCATCAGCCGCAAACAAATCTCCTTCCGCCCAACTCTCCAATTCTCCACCTCCCCTGCAAATCTCTCAACAACAACAACAACAAGACCCCACACTCGCTCCCCTCACTCGATTCTCTCGATTCAACCACGCATCAATAAACAAACCCTACTGAGAAATCGAAACGCAGCCCAAATCTCATCTACGCACGATCACCCACAATTGCAAATCACCAGCGCGGTACATCATTCCACTGAGCACCGAGTTCTCGATCGCCACGACTGGAATCGAGCCCCACTTCATGGCCGTCCCAAGCTTTCGTGGGTTTCAGACACCTGATCGATACCTGTCTGGGTGGGGTATACGGGCAGCAGTACATAATGCGAGTTAGAAAGCAACAGGCTTTTGGTTAAATTATAACTGGTTCTAAGCACCGATCTATTTATTTAGGTTTTAAGTTACGGTTTTGGAAAATGAGATGTTCATATCCTTTTCCGTAGCACTTTTGGATACAGTACAACACAACCCAAGAGTTTCAATCCAAGACATGAATGTTGTGGAGAAACGAATGTATAAATAAATACCTTTGAACAACACAAATGGATTTTCTTCATTTGGTTCCGTTGAACATAAACAATTTTTTTATTTTATAAATTTATATATATATATATATATATATATATAGGATTATCAGGAATGCATTGTTTTGTTATTCTACAAGTCTTGTTATTCAGAAATAATTGAGCTCTTTTTGGTCGTTTGAGCTGTGAAAGTATCGAGAGCTTGGGAATGATCGATCTCATGGCACTGGAACATGTGTGCTGATTTCAACGTAGGAAGCATAATGTGGGTTGTGGGCAAGGTGGGGATTTTGGGGTTTAAAAAAGAATCCTAAATCACATTTTAAAATGTTTATTTTAGCTTTTTTAAAAAATATATTTTTGTGGTTAATTAGACAATGCTGCAAGAGAATTAACCACGTGGTTATACGCGTGTTGTTGCAAAGTAGTATTCCCGACCTCGTTTGCTGCTGCAGTGCAAATCGACGCTTTGATTGATCGTGCCAATGGTCTTTTTCAGATACAATGAGCTGAAGACAGAGGGTAAATTTCTCGAGGTTAGTGCTAGCTCGAATGACTCTCACCCAGAGTTCGTGATGGGTAATTTTAATTCACTTATAGCTTTGCAGGTTTAATTTACAGCTTAAATTCAAGCATGGGAAGTGCTATGACAACGAAGCGCGGTGGTAGTACCCAGGGTTCAAGTTTTGTTGTCCTTTTATGATCTGCATTGGATAACAGGGAGAAGATCTTGATTTTGAACACGCAACAAATAGAAAGATTTTGTGTTGCAATCAATTTAAAATTCTTGTGCCTCCAAACGCGGGATTCTGAACTTGTGAATACTCGTGGAAGAATGTTCGCAGACAAAGGTACACGGAGATGTGAGAAGTGAACATTACACCCTTCTTCAGAAGCTAGAGAAGCTCCTGTCAAAATTCGACTTTCAGTTCTTTTCTACAGTCATGTATATTTTTTGTTTGATTTTGCTCTGTGGTAGAGGCTCTTGCTTATCCTTTTGCAAGCGGCGCTATGCATTTGATGACTTCTTTTTGTTACTCTCTTCGTGCTGTTCGCAGTAGTAGCATTCCAGTCTTAGCTCTTTCGTTAATGTTCACGCTGTTATTAACGGGTCTTGTGTTGCACATGTAATACTTAACATTATATGTTGACGTTGTAGTCATTTTATGACAGCCAAGTATTGCAATTCTCGAATTAAGTTCTGTTCTTACTTTGGACTTGCTCAATTGTTAAAACAGGTAGTTCCTAGTCTACTGCTTTAGTAGTATCTATTCTTTTATACTGATGTAACTGCATTGTCCTGTCATCCACTTGATATCATGCACGATGCAACATGTGTTGATCAGCATCGGAAGTGTACAACTTGCAATTGCATAGTTCTTGGTTAGATATCACATTTCATGCCAAATTGGTATTAGATCCCATATATTAGAAAATTTGTTTGAAAAAGATTGAGCTTATTTAGAATAATTTAGTATACTAATCAATTTAATGCCAAATCTTCATGAGGGTGATTACAACCTCAAGGTAATGCAACAAGAATATTATAATTCATAGTAGAAAAAGGTGCACTATACTTTATTTGTGTAAGATATATATATATATATATATATATATATATATATAATTATTTATTAATCTACCCTCTTTTTAGATTTTCTTGGCAATTAATCATTGTTTTAGTTACGAGGGTCTAAACCAATTTTTGCAATGAGTTGAGACCAAGACACTCTGTAGCTAAATCCAAAAACAAGCAACCATAACAATGGGGTTAAGGTCACACAATGTTCAATATTTGTAGCAATCCAATACCAAACTAGGTGTCACTAGGCCTTCTTTGGATATTGCATTCTAAAGATACTATAATAAACAAGTTTTAAGTCTGAAAGATAAGTTTCAAAGAATAGTGTTACTTACAATCTTTAGTGTTGATCTATTCAAGTACCTTGATCTCCATCTTTACAAACATTATATGACTTTATCTAGACCAATACCACACATCTATTTGTATTCTCCAAACTATGTATTATAACCTTCAAATGCAATATACCAAAATAAATAAATAATCAAATATATACATATATATATATATATATATATATATAATAAGTTATTTGTAAATTTTATTATTTTTAACACAAACAAATGTTTTCATTACCAGATTTATGGAAGCCCCCATTTGCTTAATACATTCAATACAAATTCAATTTGTTAGTTATTGTCTAGTCCAAGAATCTTTGTTGCTTCTTGATAGCATTCAGCTGTGGTTTCAAGTTTGTGTGCACTGAACTTAATTTTTCTATTTATTTTATCTTATTTCTAAAAGTATTCATTTATGGTTAGTAAATGCAAAAGACTTTCAAAATTCCTAATACCCTATACTTTATTATATCTTGCTTATACAAATCAAATTTTAAATTCATTTATTTCTGTAATTTCTTGATAAAATAATTTCATATCATTATAGCTTTATATATGCTAAATTCAGTAAAAATATTCTAAATCTGAATTAGTTTGCATCGAGAACTGATTCTTCTAAAAGTCTAACTTGACGTACAACACAAAAATGAGAAGTTTTGTGTAATTATCAATCAATTCACATATACTTGAATGTGTACAAGGAAGGAAACAGAAAGGTAAAACAAATGACAAAAGAAAAGGAAGAAGGGGAACTCAAAGGCTCAATTCAATACACGCTCATTCTTTTTAATTAATTCACTTCGGCTCCTGAAAAGGAATTTTAAAACATGCATGAATGAAACCAAGCCAGACTAAGCATCTTCTCTCCGCTACTTGATCCAGCGAAGCAAGAAGAGGAACATGCTTAATTATGGAGTCAGTGCTAGAGTGGAAAAAGCGTGCCAGATATTGCAGGCTGTTCACAGGAATGTATTACATGTTCACCTGCAAGCATATACTCACCTCAAGTGTTCCAAGAAAAGCATCGCATCAAACATTTAGCATAATTAAGAGACGCTACATGGACAAACAAAGATTGATGTCAAAAAAAACATGTACAATGTAGAATTGAAGTATATTTTGAAGCCCGTAAATAGGACGTGACCTCCTGGACAATATGGCCTTTGTCTATAACCCTGATCTCTAATGACTACAATAGAATGTGCTTAGGTAGGGGTAGGGCTTGAGTCTGCTGATCCGTTGGCAGATGGTAGAGGTCTAAGGGCTTTGAGGGGGTTAGAAATAACAGCGTCGATGAGGCCATACTCCTGCGCTTCCTTGGCACTCATAAAGAAATCTCGGTCCGTGTCTTGGACTATCTTCTCGTAGGGCTGTCCAGTGTGGTATGCTAGATAACCGTTCAAGTTGGCTTTGTGATGAAGAATCTCGTTAGCCTGCAGTCGTCACATGAGGATCCGTTACAAGAGCAGTCTGCAGCATTTAAAAGTCAAAATTCTGAAAGAATTTGTGTGCGAGCTCGGAGCGATTAGTTTGAAAATAAAAGCTAAATAAATAAAGGAGATGTGCACCTGAATTTCAATATCAGTCTGCTGTCCTTGAGCACCTCCCAGAGGTTGATGAATCATAATTCGCGAATTTGGTAGACTGTATCGTTTACCTGGGATGGAAGAAAACCAAAGGCAGTTTCTAAAATCAGTTAGAGGTAAACGAGAAATGTCTACAGCATTCTCTTGCTGCAGCACGTTGAATCCACAGCTGCGATCAATGTAGAACCTCTTGATGTAGAATAGTCAACAATATGTAAAGAGAATATCAAGAGCCAAAAACATGAAATGCTCATAAAGCGAAGTTCGAGTCCATGACAGGATCAAGGCATAAAAACTAATGACAATAAATAGGTTCAAAAAGCGAACCTTTAGTGCCACCACTAAGGAGAAAAGCTCCCATACTGCACCACATCCACCAACAACAAACGGTTCTTTAGGCGAAATACTTGCTGAGTCTCTTAGGATAACATTCTTACATTTCATGAAAAATCCACGTACGCTACTGTGATTGCCACCGATACTCTACAGTAATTGTCCCAACTAGCCCTGAAGGATCCGAAAATAGGGGAGATAGACGCCTTTTCAGAGTACATGACGACATATCAGTTTCACCTCGTTAAGATGCAAATGAAGCATTACACTATGCAGATGTAAAAATATAGAATATTATAATGAATTGCGGGGCATTCGATCTTATCCAGAACTGTTGAAATGTATGAAAAAATCTCAAGAATTACAAACCTGGCTGCAAGCCCAACACAGACTGTGCTCACATCAGGTCGAATATGCCTCATGGTGTCGAAGATTGCCATTCCTGTCAAAATCATACACAAAACTTTAAGAGGAAACTACAAGATAAAACCTAAAGAACCCCAGACGAACTTCATGTTACCAAACTCACAATTACCGTCCACAGAAGCGCAGTGCAGAAAGCGGAAAAGAAAACAAAACAAAACAAACAAACAAACAAACAAACAAACAAATCCATGTTATGATTTTGATTGCTGTCATGTATGCTTTACCTGCTGTGACAGAACCACCAGGTGAATTAACATACATGACAATATCCTGCCAGAAAACCGACAGAAATAACTGAGTTAGAAAAAGGAAGAGACCCATGATAGAGCAGCAATAGATGTCAAACCAGACTTGCAAGGATGCAACAGACAAATTGTAACACTCTGTTAAATTCTAGGGCTGCAACATTTCTCCCAAAAAAAAAGTGGACGCACAAGCAATTCTATGCAATTCCAACCAAGGAAGGATGATGTGCTGAAGTTCTCAGACCCTGGACCCCAATCATCCTTTCTCAACTAACACTCTGCAGTTCTGTACGAGAGAGGTTTCTTGCTACATACCCTGTCGGGGTCAGCGGCGTCCAAGTACAGCAACTGAGCAACGATCAAATTAGCCATGTCGTCGTCCACAGCGCCTCCACATCGAATGATTCTCTTTCATGCCAATAAGATATCCTTGTCAGCAATATCTTACAAATCCATGATCAAAGAGACCGACTTGCAAACAACTCCGATTGTTATAAAAGGCGTAATACATCCTTTACAAAAATAGTGCCTAATACACGACACGATTTGAGCTTCGAGTAAACAGATTGTACCTGCTGAAATAGCTGAGTAATTACGCTCTGAAATCTCTCAGCGAGCATAGGAGGGGGACCCTGTCCTCCCTGAGCTCTTGGAGACTGCCCCATAAAGCCTGAAGTTGGTAGTTCTAGGTCATTTCTGCACAAAAAACAAACGAAAAGCATTGTAATGTGTATTATTCTTTAAATTAATTAATTAATTAAAAAAATCGCCTCTGTAAAAAGCCTTAAAATTGATCCGAATGAAGAAACAAGGCTCATCAAAAATCGAAACTGACAACTCGCTGATGTGTGGACCTTCCTAGACATTCTTCTTCTGAATGTGCACCCCGAGAATCCCACAGCAAAGTTGAGTTGTCCAAAAAGGAGGAAAAAGAACGACTAGTCGTGTTCTCACCTGATAGACCAAATGTCATAATTGGGAACAGCAGCTTCGGGGGTCCAGAATCCTGAGGAATTGATAGCTGCACGCGCCACAAGTTTCCTGCCACTGCACAAGAAATCCAAATCCAGGACCTAAAATAGTCAAGGCTCTCGCGGATGGAATAACATCGAAACCATTAAAACCAACCCACTGGAATCAATTGTATCCCAATCCGCCCATACTCCGAAGCCGCAAAGGAAAGCTTACGCGACCCACACTTAAGCAGCTCTATGGAAAAGTAACCCAAGTACTAAAAACACCATCCCAACACGCGACCGAGTCTTACACGGGAGCTTTCCTAGCAGGTTGGGGAGGCAAGAAGGTGCAGTTACTACTGAGCAGCTGGTGGTGCACATTGGAAGCACCTCTGCAGCTCGCCACGGCCGCCACAGGCTTCACAAGCACCGCATTCGCCATGCCTAAAACTCAATTCTCCTCTCCCCTCCTCTCCTCTCCTCTCCTCTCCTCTCGCAAAAACCCACAACCTCTCTCGCGCTAACCCACCAATCCAATCACACCCTATCCCCGGGGACCAGAAACCCCGCGACGAAAACGCAATTCAGACTCGACAATGGGGCTCCTCCCAGAAAAAACGATTGCAGGAGGAAGAAGAAGCAGAATAGAGAGTCTGGTGGAGTGCACAGCGAGTTGCAAGTAGTAGCGGGGAATTGGATGGCAGGAATTGGGTCTGGCATGCAGGAGGAGGAAGGAGGGATTCTTCCAAGGGTGTGCCCCTTTCCGTTTGCTTTGCTTCACTTTGCTTGCAATCCCCGCTTTCTTCCCAGAGCGACGAGGGTATTCGATTCTTCGTCTCGTCTGGTCCCATCCTATTCCTTTCTCCTACTCGTCGATTTTCCTTCGTCTTCTTCTTCCTCTTCCTCCTCCTCTTCGTCCCATCATCCGGTACAATGCCATCCATCCCGCTGCGACGAGGATCTCGGTCACGAGAGCGCGACGCGAGGCCTCCTCTTCCTCCTCCTGGTCTTCTCGCACGCTCTGCGGCGCTCTCTCGCGGATCGAGATCATTCATCCATATGGATGATTTCGTTGGGTAGTGGATGGATGGGTGGATAAAATACTTTATTTACTTTTTACTCTCTTTTATTTCACAAACTGGATTATTGAAATACTATATTTTTTTCATGCTTTATCCAAGTATGGTGATCATCAATAATCATACAAACAATATTACTTTGATACATTTTTGAACAATGATAAGTGTGTTATTGAAAATAAATAAAAATAAAAATACGTGAATTTTTTTCGAAGCTTGGATGACTTGGTTTCGTTTTACATGAAATATTATGAAAAATACATACAACTTGTAATTGATGGTGTTCCAAAGGTTTTTAACTTATGATAAACTGGATGAGTCATTTTTGTTATTCAAAATGATGATACCTCTTATTTTAGAAGATAATCGAGAAAAATCAAAATGTATTCTGTTGGTAAGTAGATTTTGAAGAAATTTATGGTTTGGCCTTAATTGTTTTAAAACCATATCATTTCAACAAGTTAAAAAACGCTGAAAAAATTAAAATCTAATTTTCGTTTTTTTAATAAGAAAAATACTCGGTAGAAAACATTTCCAGTACAATTGGTAGCCTGATTTTAGAAGCCAGTATGTTTAAGTTTGTTTGTTTGTTTGTTTTTTTTTTTTTTAAAAAAAAAATAAATTACGTGTGTTTATGTTTAGATGTACTTATATGCAAAGCTTTCTTAATTAAATCCATGTGTAGTTCAATTCTTATTTTATGGCATGGAAAGCTATTTAGAACATATGAATTATTTATTTTGCAATTTAGGACAAGGTACTGCAAACTTGATATGATAATATTTGTTATGAAAAATAAAAATAAACAGGTCAATATATCAAATTTATTATATGAGGGATGATCTTTTAGTTTACTGCAACTTTATTAAATATTATCAAATAACTCCAAGAACTGTATAAAAGCTTCCTTTACAATGCCACCTACTTCTGTTGAATAGTTTTAAAACTTTTTTTAAAGGTATTGATTACTAATTCTTACAAACACACAATGTTGTCACTATGTTTACATTGCAAATTTCAATAGAAAGATATCTTGTTCTATCGCAATACTTTAAAGTGAATTATATTTTAAACAGAAAAGATTAAAACCCAATGCATTTGCATTGTCTTCATCAACACACAAACCAAGCTGAAGGAATGGTTATCATTGCTCATATTTGTATTTTAATGTTAATCTTCACAAAATCTTCACTCTTCTACTGTTTTGTACCTAATTAGCAACTCTTTTGTTGTTTATAATCACTTTTATTACTAATCTACACAAAATATTCATACTTGCATGTGATGGCACGGACCAAGATTTAGTCATCTTTAGAGTCCCAAAACTGTTTTGGTGTTTGAACATGTAAAGAATTGTTACGATTTAAAGATCAAATGTGGCAATAATTGTCAATAATGTTTTGTTGAATAGAATTGTGAATTTTCATAAACTCAATACAAATTTTTTGTTTAAAAATTAAACATCTTTTTTAAGTTTAGTCAAGTGAGTTTTAGATTTCTTATACTCCATTAGTTCCTTTACAACTCATGTTTTAGGGTTTCTATAGAGCTCTGATGAAATCATATAACAAGTTTTAATAAGGTGCACAATTACAAAGTATTAAACTACGATGATAATGCACCACAAAAGAATCCAGTTTTATAGGAGTTACAAATGTTGGTATCAAAACAACCATTGTTCTTGGCTTGCATCAAACCTAATATCGGATTTGCCTCAATTTAACTTTTCATATTTTCCATGTCTTTAAACCATTAAAAATAGATTCACCATTTGTAGTTTTTGTAAAATAAAATAGAATACACTATAAAAAATGCATCACAAAGTACAGAATTACAGAAGTGTTAATCCACATCTTACCACCTTCAAAATTCAAGTTTTTGGCTCTGAATTTAAAAACATATATATAATTGTTACTTTTTCTTTAATTTAAAAATAAAATAAATATAAAAAAATCTCTCAAGTAATTTTGTTATGGAAGTCTAATTAAACTTTGAACTTTGCTACCACAGCATGTGGCAATCCATAAAATTTCTTTTACATTGTTAGAATTGACAATTTACCAATTCTATGCATGCTCAACACATCCAAAATTATTTCACCTCATTATTCATTCTCTAAAACTCACCAATTACCTCATTCAAGGTTACAAAAGGGTCTCTAATCCTGATTTGAGTTCATGTAGTGACATTACCATTAGATTTAAACGAATTACCTTTTGGGAATGTGACTGGTTTAGTTCTGCAATTATACTCATAATCTTCAAGTCTATAACTAAAGCCATCTACATCACTTAAATGTCCATACATGATTATCATCCAAACAGTTTTAACTTAAAATATAATAAAAATTTGCTTAAGAGTTATATAAGTTATATGTAATATTATTTTATGGGTACACCACTACGACTCTACAAGCAACCAACAGTTAGAGCCACTTCCTTGGAACCCAGCAGTGATTTTATGAGCTGGAGCACTGATTCCTCTTGCAGTGGAGTTGCATGAGTCTGGCAAAATAGCATCCACTCCGAACCGGAGGACTCTTCCAGCTCAAAAATGATTCTTCAAAGTAGCGCTGGAGTTAACCTTCACTTGTAAATGTCACCCACAGTATTCTGCGAAATACTGCTCTTTAGTTCACCCCAAAACCTACACCCATGTCTTATACTTATGATGTATCCAACAAAAACATAGGCCTGCAACAGGATATTCAAAAGACAGCTCAAAAGTGAATAAACATATTCAGTCTTAAGGATTAATTTTACAAGCTATCTCATTTCAAGCACGTTCAAGAATGCTCTCAACAGCATCGAAGCCGGATAGCTACAAGTATGTCGAGCCAGTTTCTCTGGTTCCTACATTGAAATTGCTGCCTGTTTTGATGAGTTGCAATGTCAATTGACAGTCCCCCACTTAAGATTGGAGGTGTCCTAGTTATCAGATTGGAAACGATTGGCATTGAAACATAGGCGTGTACGCTACATTTTAGAGACACCGACCCCCGTCTATTTACCCGCCAATCGTTTGTTTATAACTGAACATCTACCATAACTTCCGTAATGGCAATATACGAATTGTCTACAAGAGATATTGCACTTTTTGAGAGGAACACGGACACAAAGGGCTAACATCTACGAACTGAACCACTTGCAGCCGACAGTAATGATCTCTTTCTTGTTCAAACTAATGAAATACGCTATGGAAATGATAAAAAGAATAAAAAAAAGAATAAAAAAAAGAGAGTCAATTAAGCTATCAGAACTGAAAAATTTCCACGCATAGGAACAGCTCCCTCTTTTTGCCTGTCCCACAAAGAAACTCCACAAAATCTCAATCGTCAGTAGCGAGGCGCTACACATGGGCAACGTTTCATTCGATCCCCATGTGCTAAAGATTTCAACACACCAATGTTAAAGACCACACCATGTGTTCGTAACGGAGCTCCTCCACCTATAACGGTGACAACCCAGCTCGACGTTTCTGAACTGAACTCTGCCGACACCTTCCGGCATCCAGTTTGCCACTCACCATAGCAAGAACATATCACCATCTAATACTGGTCCTTCCAAAGCTGCAGATGTGCACAATCACGTGTCTCCACCACTAAACGCCTCTCCAACGCCAGTGTACAACTTGGTTTGTTCATCAGTTATCAATTTTTGTTCTTCGCAATCCATCAGTTAAAGATCAAAAAATACAACGCCATCATCGTAAAGAAACCCACTTCGTCAGGTTAAATCAAAATACTACGTCTCAGATGATGTATGGTATGTCAAATCGAAAGCCCGCTGAGACTCGGCACACCCATCTCTTTCACATCCATTCTAGACCTTCATTAAGACTTCTGTCTCTTACGCCTGCGCAGCCGCTCCTGCCGCTCCTCTTCCTCTATCAACTCCTGCTCCAGCTCGTCCTCCTCTCGTCCCAGTCGCGCGCTCCGCTACTCCTCCACCTGTATATGCCGGAAACTCGCCTCCATGTTCTTAACGTCTTCGTCGTCCAAATCCTTGTACTTGTTAGGATTATACCGAAACAGCTTCTGTATAATGCTGGAATACCCCGATGCTCGAACACCGCCTCCGTCATCGCTGTCCGACTCATAGTCGGACTCCGGCTCCCAAGGTCTCTTCTTTTCCTTTGCAGCTGCTGGCTTGCTCTCCATCGGTTCTTCGCTTAATTTCTTCCTCCTCCTCAGCTCGTCGCTTGATTTCCTCTCTATACACTCGTTTCCTACGGGTTTCCTCCTCGTGGCCTCGTCCGTAACAGGCCCCCTCGGCGGAGCACCGATGGCTTTCCTCCTATCCTCGCAGTCGTTTCGTTTCCGCTTCAATCCATTTACGCTCGCCGGGGCTATTCTACCTCCACCTGATGCTCCAGATCGAGGTCCTCCAGCCACCAGTCCTGTCATCTCGCTTTCCGAGGGTGGGACTCCATGTTTTGACCTCTCCACTCTTCTCCCATCGTCCCACATCACCCCTGTCCCCACCTTCTTTCCTGCCTCCCCGATGTTTTTCTTCATCCTCGATGTATCGCTCCCATTGCCTTCCTGGACCGACTGTAACGCCCAACTCTTCATTGTAGACTTCTGTACCATTTTCTCTCGGACGGTTCCGTTCCCGGATTGGGATGTCCTTTGAACTGATGTCTGCATCGCCTTCGTTAACAATAACTGTTTCATTGACCAAGAATTCTGTGGCACAGCTCTTTCGTGGTTTGTGACTTTCGGACCTACCGACTTTGCCCTCTCTTGCCCATCGCTCTTTGACCTATCGGAGGATACAAGCAACTTCGATGGCACTCCTCGATATGGCGGTCTCTCATCCAACCCACTCTTGCTCGCAAGTCCTACCCGAAGCGGTGCCACGTTTCTCCCCACACTCTTTTCACCGTCATACCTGGTTATACTTGCACTTGCTTTGAGAACCTGACCCGACCCAGGCCGCACAGCACTATTGCTGGCTGCTCTCGGTTTCCGAGCAAAAGTACCCACGCTCATATGTTTCGTCAAATCCTCTGCGGAACCCCTCCCGTCTCTAGACACCTTGCTGAGCTCTGCTCGAGAATCCCGATCATCAGCGCCCCCAGGTTTGCTCGGATGTTATCCGGGAATAGAAACGAATAGTCTCGTTTGACCTTCAATTTCTGAGCTTTCACTGCCGCCGGTTTCACAGGCTTCAATTTAGCTGCAGGTTTACTTATAGAATCGTTGCTCGGAGGTCTCATAAACCATTTCTGCTGTTGGCCCGAACTTTCGCTGCTTTCTCAGCCTCGGCAATTCGTGCTTCGCGAGCAGCTATTTCACGCGCTCGCTTCTCATCCACCACCCGCTCCGCCACCACCTTCTCCACCTTCCCGAAAAACGAACCGAAATTGTCCTTCGCAGGCGGCCGATTACTCCCGCTCGGCCTTGGGTTCCTCTCCAAATCCTGCCGCTCATAACGATTACCTCGCTCGGGGGACGGACTCTCAACATATTGCTCCTTTTGCTTGTTGGCTCTCTGCTTCTGAAGAGCTTTCAGCCGAAGTAACCGATCACGTGCTTCTTGATTTTCGGAAACCCCATCGTCCTTCCCCTTTTTTCTCTGAATATCTCTGGAACCCCAGGCGTCGTCGTCGTGAAAGAGGGAGAAGTCCCTGCTCTTCTGCAGGTGATCCGCCTTCTCGTCCCGCCACGACATGCTTGCAGCCCGTCCTTAGGCTCTTGTCTGCACCTACAATTCTGCACAGAAGCACACACTTCTTTCGTTTACTCAAGGCGATGCAGCAATATCACGAATAGTTGAGGATGTCTTTGCCGTGACAATACGTCAACATCCTCTAATATCAAGCACAGGAACGATTGCACGTTGATAGCTTCTTACAAACGCGCACACATGCATCCTAAAGCAGGTGACGACGACATCGTTGTGCAGGTATACTGTAGATAAACGAGCAAACAGCACCGGATCAGACGACCGGGTAGACGGAAGCTTACGTGATTCCGTTGAAATTACAGGAGAGCGCTCTACCTTGCGAAGAAATGTGAGGTCCTTTGCTATACCTTTAGAAAATCCGATAGAACAATGAACCAACACATCGGCAACAATCGCACACTTGTTCTCTGAGTGGATTGGGAAACATGAACTTTGTCTTGTCAAAGCAAGATCTTTCTGAACAACGAGTAGGGAAAATGGCTTAAATAGATCAAATAAGACACTCCATCTTTCTAAACTTGATGGCCAAGGCATCTCGTTGACCCCCTGCTTACTACACACTACCATCAACTTCATGAAACCGCACACAATCCTGGCGGTAAACCACCAAAAACATTCTATGGTAGCTTTGGGACTGCGATTCATCAAAATTGCACCTTCAACTTCACGCCCACAACATGGTAACCTCAAAGAACGTGTGTGTTTCATGGCACAGCGTAAGATGTAGGGTTTTCGCACTTCACACTGCAACCCATGAATTCCAAAGGCTCCAACCCTAGAGCCATACAAATACTAAATCTCCTCTTGCCCTCACCCTCATCACCATCTCTCATGTATCCCAACGACAGCCTCAAACACGCCCCATTTCAATCGACTGAAAATCAAACCACACGCATTCAAGTGCTCACTTGTGGGCAACGCAGACAAGGATGCCGAGGTTTGAGTCGTCAAATTTGACGCATTAATCTCTGGCTTCTACGACGCTGGCGACACTAAGGCGCCGCAGGAGCTACCCATGCCCCGGGCAACGGTGTCTCTCAAGCCCCTACGCCATCTCCCCGTGCGCCCGCGCACCCTCTCGCGCCAGCCTCTTTCACCACCAATCCTTCCCCACTCCGTCATGATTCCAACCCTAGAATCGCACCCCTGAAGCAATTGATCAACTTGGACTACAACCACCACGCACCAAAAGCACAGACACACACACACACACACAGCTCGAGATAGGGAAATTTGGGATGTCGGTGACAGAGATCTGAACCCTAAAACTCTCAACTTTGCTATTGGGTCAACAGCAAAAGCAGGGCTTTCTGCTTCTTCATCTTCCTGCTCACTAGAACATCAGAAGAGTTGACTGGCATTCATGGGATCTGCCTTTCACGAGGTCATTCGACCTTTTGGTGTGGGACTGTCATGAGATATCAAGACTGTTTTCCTCGTTTCAGGTGTTGGCCGACTTTTGCTTTTTGCAGGTGGATTTGGATTTTGTTCTACATGATATAGGATGAGAGACCACACAAAATGAATGAAGTTGTTGAGGAATTGAAAACCCTGTGATTCTAGCGTTTGTCCTCGGGTCATATGACCACAGAATAATGACTTCGAAGATGGATGATACAACAACATATCCATCCACATGCATGTAGTTATTTGTGTGTGTGTGTATGTGTATATATATATATATATATATATAATTTATCTTACAATTTTTTTGTATTGCTATCTTGCTGATTATATTCAATAGTTGGAGATTATCTTGCATCATTTTGCATCATATAGGATAAATGTGTTCTTGGAAATGAAAAGTGAGCTGATACCAAAAACAATTAACAAGTTTGTCTTATTAAGACTCATTATTTAATGAATTGTGTTATGCAAGATACTATAATAAATGTATTTATTTAAAGCAAACAAAAGAAGAAAGGTCATAGAAAATAGTGGATAATTTATAAAATTTAAACATGCTTATAAATTTTAACTATTTTTAACATTTATTGTACAAAATTACTTGTCTTAGAATAAGTTTTAATTAGTTATTAATTACAAGAACAAAACCAATTGAAACATAATAGGACTATGCTTATATTTTTGTTTGCTATCATCACATCCAAGTAGACATTAGATTCGAAAGCTTTATAATCCATCTTCTTACATTGTCAACTATCTAAACAATTCCAAAAATATTCCATTTTACAAATAAGAATGACTTTTACCACTACAAATTAATATTCTAATATTCTAGTAAAATCAACATGTTTGAACTGCCTTAAATTAAAATTGTTTCAAAATATATAAACAAGTAAAATTTTGTTTGTTGCTTATTCCATCATGTTTTATCAAGGTAAGGAAGTATACATATTATAAATACATAGCATTAATTAAATATAAAAGAACTAAATTAAATGTTAAAAACAATCACTTCTAATACTTTATATTTATATGTTAAAATTATATATTCATTCAACCATGTGGTTGTCTTTGAGCAACCATATTATATATAAGATATTTTTATTAACTGTACCAAAATTGTAAATATTACAAATCTTATTTTTTGTAAGTTCTAAGTACCACTAAGGTTTTAATATTTATATAAAAACATTACTAACTTTTAACTATAAAAAACTTATCTTGTACAAGCTTTTAGATATTTAAATAGCTAGAATCTAAACAATTTAATAATCATCTACATACATTTTTAACATTTGTATTTTGCAATTGGACAAAAAAAAAAAATTAATCCTAAAAGTCTACTAAAAAGTTTTTATAAGTAGATCAATAATCAAGTCTCCTAAAATATATAGATATTAATGATTGTCTATTACTCCATCTTTATTTATTTATTTATTTATTTATTTATTATTTTTTTTTTGGTGCATTGAAATATTTTGTATAAATTGGTATTTATAACTATTTAAAAATATAACAAGCCTTAGGTGGATATATTGCACATGTAATTCTCACATATGGTATGCAATATTTTCTTTTATTCTACACTTCTTTAGATGTCTTTAAAGTAAGAACATTTAATAGAATGTTGATTAAAAGTACTCATTGTACTTTCCACCACTTTTGTTTAAATATGTTAGCTTGTATGTTAGTAATAACCAAATACTTCTATAGAAACTTTTTCAATGCAACTTTTTCTTAAAAATGAAATCTAAAATTTACATTATGCATGTAAAAATGAATATAGCACCAACTTAATTCTAAAAGAAATACTACAATAATTTTTTAATAGATAATATAATTCAAATTTATCTATTTTATTTTTGATCAAACTGAGCAATTCTCTCTCTCTCTCTCTCTCGATATATATATATATATATATATATATATATACTTATTTTGAGAAAATTCTTATTTTTATTTTGTAGAGATAAATACATATTATATATATAGTTATCTTTTATATTATGTTAAATTCTTATATTTATATATTTATTATATATATAGTTATCTTTTATATTATGTTAAATTAAAAGATAAATACATATTTTATCTTTTATATTATGTTAAACTTGTCTACAAAATACTTGTGGTCTAATTCAAAAAAAAAGATTCTAATTCTACCTCAAATTTTACTACTGCCACCACAATATACTTCTTTTGACATCACCCATATGCATTGCCTAGCTCAAGGCAATTGTGGCATGTGTCATAATGTTTCATCACAATCACACAACCTACGAGCAAACTTGCCTTCTACAAGTAAGCAATCAAAGTGTAACAATTTACAAAGGTGCCAATGGTGTTAAGTTCCATGATAAAAAAACATCATGCAAAAAGTTGTGAAGAGAGTAGTGGACACGGCACATGTGAAAGGAGCATACAAGAGAAGCATTTGAAAAGCCTCTATGAGATTGTGAAAGATCATGTACTGAGTAGGTGGTGAATTGTAGTGTTAATATCAAAAAATATATAAAATATAGGTATCTAATTTTATTTCTATTTTTAATTTAAAAACATATTATGTTTGATGAAAAAATAAAAATAAAAATAAAATCTGAACACAATAGATTTTGTCTAAAAAGGTAACCCTATTGGTTATGGTTTGTGATTAGATGTGTAATAACTAATGTATTGGTTTATTAAAATTTTAATCTTAGAGCTGATTAGCAAATTGTAAAACATGGGTATTATATTAGGAATAAAAATCATGTAATAAAAATATCAAACTACACTTTAAAAACCTCATGACATCATTAATCGTTGTAGTCATAAGTTGAGGCTTTTAAACCATTATTAGCTTATAATTTTTCATTTTATTATTTTAAATTATAAGTAAAATACAACCATAAAATATCATATATTACTGCCAAAAGATTATAATTATACTTTTAATCCTATAACCGTATCATTCAATCAATATGTTCAACTAAAACTATACATTATACTACTATGGCAAAACCGTGAAGATTTGAGAAGTGAACTTACATAAAACAAGACTGTCAAAGCTTAGTACTGTGTAAGTTCAACTAAACTACAATGAATGATTGCCTTCATGGCCGTCAACATTATCCACACCCAAACTGCTTTTATAGTATTTATTCGACAAAGAAAACTTTGCAAGCATCTTTAGGTGAAGCCCATGATGTGTTGTCCCACCAATAGTGCCAATAATACAGCAAGTTTCTCATGGGCAGGATTATAAAAAGGCTCACTACACAACAATTCATTCTCGCCGCCCTTCTGACGAGCACAATGAAGGATGCACTTGAGCTGTGTTTTACTAAATTCTCCCCCACGCGCACCTCTGGGCACCGTGTGACTCGCATTGGCAGAGCTTGAGTCTGACACGCTGGTGCCCGAGCATGTCGTTTTCTCTCGGACACTGAAGTCAGTGAGGCAGAGCAAGTTTTTGTCTACCCATGGCCTTGCTGCAGTGATATGCAGAGTGAGCTGCCTGTTCTTCTTTACGGTTCCTGCATGCGTCATGGACTTCTGAGACGCTGAGCTCTGAACGTTTGTGCTGCTGCACTAAAGCTTGCAGTCTCATGGTCGCTTTCCGTGACACTGTGTGATGTGGGTAGGCCTTTTTCTCTGTTTTTCTTTTTTATGTTCAGATTGACATTTTGGTTTTTGGAGCATTCTAGCTGGAGACGTGAGTGAATTTGTGCGGTACAGGTGAAATGGGATGTATGAGCGACCCTAGATTATTTTCAGTGTTGTGGGTTGATGCGAATCGTGATGAAATCTGCTGTTTTTTATTCCGAATCTTGGCTTCTTCGATGCCCCGGGCATATTAATCAGTGAAACCGGTCAGAACTGGTGGTAGGGGAGCTCCACCCCCTGCACTGCTGACTCCTCTGCGAATTTCGAGTTTGAAGCAAACTTTGTGTCATAGTTCGCTTCAAATACCAAATCTTCTGCTGAATATTGAGCAAAGGGTCTCTTGCCGTATACTCGTTCTTACTTGGCTTGCAGACCCACGGCCTCTCAGAAGCGTTTTGTTCTTGAGCGCTGACGACCCGGAACTCGTGACTTCCATTGGTAAGAATAATTTGAGTGCTGTGTTTACTGCTCAAAACTTCCCCTATGGAAGCCATTAATGGAGTTTGATCTTAGCTGGTTGGTGATTGCTTGGGTTGTGTTTTGAAAAGAGTGGCTCAAAGCATGTGTTGCAACATTCTGGTGACAATCTTCCTAGCATGGATAAGGCTACACGAAACTGCAGTTGAAGTCTATCGCAGCTTCTTAGGTACTCAAGTTGGATACTTAGACGTCATGAGATGTGTAATCCGACCAACAGCAGTTAGAATTTAGCTGTGCAGGCCGTGAGGTGATGATGAGAGTCATGGAACCTCGGAGGAGGTTGCTCGATACCCTGGTGGTGCTGCTCCTGGTGCACATGATGTTTCCAGAAGCTGCAGCGCACAAGGATGGAAAGCACGAGCTGTACAAGGACCCAAAGCAGACTGTAGCGGTGAGGGTGAAGGATCTTCTTGGGCGTATGACGCTTGATGAGAAGCTGGGCCAGATGACACAGATTGAAATGACTATCGCCAATACTTCGGTCGTTACCAAGTATTATATTGGTAATTGTCGCATGCTCCTCCACGGTGTTCACGTCAGCCGCGTTAGCCTTGAAAGACTTGGATGTTGTCGTCGGAGTTTCTCCTACTTGAGAACATTTGAGAGCCATCTTGTAGCTGGCAATGCTCATCGATATTTGTAAATGCAGGCAGTATCCTGAGTGGCGGTGGAAGCTCCCCTGGACCGAAAGCCACCGTGAAGCAATGGACCAACATGACGGATTACTTCCAATCAGGGGCCTTGAAGACGAGGCTTAGCATTCCGGAAATATATGGAATTGACGCTGTCCATGGGCACAACACCGTTTACGGAGCTACCGTCTTCCCTCACAATGTCGGTCTTGGCTGCACACGGTACAATTTCATTGCCTGTCTGGGCAACCACGCGTTCGATTTCTTTGGGTGTTCGGCATTTGGAATTCATTCAACCTCATCATGTTCTGTGCAGTGATCCGGCCCTCATAGAAAAAATTGGTGTCGTTACGGCTCTTGAGGTTCGCGCCACAGGCATTCCGTATGTGTTTGCGCCTTGCATCGCTGTGTGTCGAGATCCACGGTGGGGGCGTTGTTATGAGAGCTACAGTGAGGATCCCGACGTGGTGAGCAGTATGACATCGATCATTGATGGTTTGCAAGGCAAGAAACCACATGGCTGGGACGGACCCTATGTACAAAAGAGGTAAACATCAACTTGCAATGGCACGGTTCTTCTATTTGAAAACCAGTTGAGGTTGTATCTAAGAGGACAAGTACGTTGGGTTGTCGCGAACTGATCTTCTTTAGCATGCCACAGTACTCGTAAGGTGGCTGCCTGTGCGAAGCATTTCGTAGGCGATGGAGGGACGACCAATGGAACTGACGAGGGCAACACAGAAGTTAGCTACAAGGAACTCGTTGATATTCACATGAAAGCTTATCCCCATGCGATTGCGAGGGGGGTGGCCACAATTATGGCCTCCTACAATAGCTGGAACGGTTTCAAGATGCACGCCAATAAGTTCTTACTTACTGATGTGCTCAAGGGGCAATTAGGATTCAAGGGGTTTATCATCTCTGACTGGCAGGGGATTGACCGCATCTCAACGCCTTGGGGGGTCAATTACACGTACTCTACCGAACTAGCACTTAATGCTGGAATTGACATGGTATGCTCCATCTTCCTCTTGTGTGCTGCAGCAATCTCGCTTTCGGTTTCAAGATGCACGCCAAAAAAACATTGGGTTCGTGAACAGATTTTGGGTATATTTTCGATGGCAGGTCATGGTGCCCTACAACTACACGGGCTTTATAACCGTCGCCAAGCAGCTAATCGCCGAGAAGAAAGTTCCGATGTCAAGAATAGATGATGCAGTTTCGCGTATCCTTAGAGTGAAGTTTCAAATGGGTCTTTTTGAGAAGCCTTTTGCAGACAAGAGCCTAAGTAAATTAATGGGAACATCGGTAAGAATCAGCATTGCCCGCCTTGGCAAGTTTATCAAATTCGAGCTCATGCATACATTTGTTGTCAGGGATCGTACATCTTTTCAAGCTTTTAATACTGATGTCCGATCTGATCTTTCGCTACAATGACAGTCACACAGGAAGTTGGCAAGGCAGGCAGTGCGCAAGTCATTAGTACTTCTGAAGAATGGCAAGAGCTCTAAACCTCTCTTACCTTTGAACAAGTACGCGCGGAAGATTCTTGTGGCCGGGGCTCACGCCAACGACATCGGCTTGCAGTGCGGAGGCTGGACCATCAGCTGGCAAGGCATGCCTGGAAACATCACAAAAGGTCGCTCCAAATTCCCAACACTCCTATTCCAACTTACCTCACGACCACTTTTTTCTTTTTTTTTCTTTTTTTTAAAAATCTTTTTGGGGCCTTCAGTATCTCACTTGAAATCTCGTTTCACAGGAACAACCATTTTGGAAGGCATCAAGCAAACAGTAGACTCCAACACGAAGGTCGTGTACAAGGCCAACCCTAAGAAAGGTGATGCCAAGGAGAAGGGATACCAGTATGCGATAATCGTTGTAGGCGAGCAACCCTATGCTGAATTCGAAGGGGATAATCTCAACCTCACCCTACCCGCTCCTTATCCTAACATGATCAAGGACACATGTTACCATGTCCAATGCGTTGTGGTGATAATCTCCGGCAGACCGCTGGTGATTGAGCCCTATGTGAGCGACATCGACGCCTTGGTAGCCGCATGGCTACCAGGCACAGAGGGCACTGGAATCGCCGATGTGCTCTTCGGCAAATATGATTTCCAAGGGAAGCTTTCACGCACCTGGTTCAAGAGAGTTGATCAGTTGCCGATGAACGTCGGCGACAAGGATTACGATCCTCTGTATCCTTTCGGATTCGGCTTGAAAATGGGTGAAATCCAATTAGCACGCCTAGAATTTAGGGTTTAAACTTGCTGATCCTCGCTGTTACTCTCAGAGTGACAGACACCCCACAAGTCTGTTGCAGAAATCCAATTAGCACGCCTAGAATTTAGGGTTTAAACTTGCTGATCCTCGCTGTTACTCTCAGAGTGACAGACACCCCACAAGTCTGTTGCAGAAATCCAATTAGCACGCCTAGAATTTAGGGTTTAAACTTGCTGATCCTCGCTGTTACTCTCAGAGTGACAGACACCCCACAAGTCTGTTGCAGAAATCCAACTTGTGGGTGTCTGGGATTTGCGTGTCTCCATTTCTGTGATACTGCCTCACACAAATAAAATCATACTAAATTGGCTTCAAAACAATTTCACATCTATTGTTGGATTGCCAGGATGGGATTGAACAACTTTTGCACATTAATAAAAGACTAATGTCCCAACATTCAAAGGTCTTATAACACTAAATTGTATTGTCATTTTCTGATTGGATTATTGTTTTTGCAAAAGACGAATGTAAGATGTATTTTAGAAGCCTCAATTAGAAGCAATGTTTGCTAATTTCTACAAATTTGACAATTGGACAAATAGTGATTAAAAATGTATTGATCAAAGTCTACAAATGCCAATTGTATTTAAACTATAAAATCAACTCATTAGGTAGGATCTTTCAAGTTATTGATGCATGTTAACAAGACCATTGCTTTGTTTGAATTCTGTCAAGCAATTTTTGAAATTGTTTTATTATTACAACCACTTTGTATAGAATGGAATATGTAACAACAATCTTTAAAAGTGATTTGTTAGAATTTATGTGATTTTATAATAAAAAATGCCTAGCCTTGATTAAAATATTGCCAAATATAATCAAAATCCTTTTTTATAACAAATTTATCTAACTATCAATATTGTAATCAACACCAAATATTTATAGTGTCTTTCTTTTGTGATTGATTTGGCTTGCTCATTGTAGCAACTATTATGTAGAATTGTTGTTGCTAAAAAACCAACTCTTGAGATTGTGAATTCTATACAAGACTAGCAAAAGTTGTTCTTTTGCAGAGGCAATGGTGAACCTATATAAAAAAAAAATGAAAAGAAGAGCAAGAGAAGGAAGAGTATCAATATGAGAAGGCCACTATGGCAATGTTGGTGTACCTACTACAAATGCATGCTATCTTTTTTACTTGTTTACATGCTTGCTTACTTTATTTACTTTTGTTTTGTGTCCTTCTATTTTAAGCTTGTATTTTTTCTTCTATTAAGAATAAAAAATTATTAGTAGATTTTTCTAAAATTAGGATGAAAGGTCCACCATCTATATAATCAAACTCTCTAGATTTTTATCCAGATAAATTGCTATTTGTATTGCAATAAATTTATTAATATGTTGAAAGGTTTTTGTAGCCAATGAACTTGCTTTGTTATTTGAAGATGATAATCATGTTTATATCCAAATAGAAATTAAATAAGAAATTGTAGAGTGAATAGTAATGTTATAAACTATCATAAAAAAACCTCTTGCAAAAAACAAGAACATAGAAATGAAAACAACCAAGAGATTCAATATTGTCCATACTAAACCACAGTAACTTTCTTACCACAATTCAATGCTCAACATGGACTCTTAATTAAAAGAAAAATTATTTTAATGTGTATAATTTAAGATATATAATTAAAAAATATTAATTTTTAATAATAGTATATATATATTTTTAAAATTAAATTTTAGAAAAGATTACAATCTATAAATTGCTTAAATTATATTATCATGAAACAAAGCTCAACAAATACCAATGACTAATCCTTCTTATAAGAATGCACCCTTATTAGGTATTGATGTGGTTATTATATCAAAAAAACCACAAGCTATTAATTGGATCATTTGTTATATTTCTATATTTATCTTAAAGTATAGATAGACATCACAAACACTTTTTTGTAATTATATTGGTGCATGCAACATCCACTATTCTAACTTGCTCTAGAATGATTCATCAAAACAACTAGCATTAAAAACTTGTTGTTAAAAGATGAAATATTATCAAAGAAGAGCTAAAAAAAAGCTATCTTGTTCTTATGGACAACATAAAGAATATAAATATAAGTCTAGGACAATGTTTAGTTGGCTTGAGAAATGATTTCATACTATATTGTGGAGTTTGTTGTTTGGTTGGAAAAGCACCAAGCTCATAAACATGGGAGTCTTTAAAACTTTGAATGCAAATAAATCCTTGTTTTTTAATACTGTTAAATTCTGATTTTATTCAAATTACTCATTCTAATTCTAAATCTTAAAAAACTTAGAAATTCTATCTATTTCTATGAGTTCTGAAAAAAACTTCAAATATATTTTGAATTCCAAGTAGTGAACTTTTACATGTATTAGCTCTTAATTGGACTATTGGATTGTTTCCAAAATTTGGAAAGTCTTTGCAAGTTATGAATTAATTTTCAAATTTTAAAAAAGATTGAACATATAGATTAATAAATATTGCAATAAAACCTCCATTGTTGAATTTTGTTTTTTTTTTACTCCAAGTTTGGTTTGAAAAAAACTTTAACAATCAATTCTTATAATTTTATTCTTACCTTCTACTCAAACTTGAAGTTTGATTGCTTTTTTTAGTTTCTAAAATAATTCCTTTATAAAGAAATTAATAATTAGACACAAAAAATTAGCAAATAATTTTAATTTGTTCTATTTTGGTATCTCATTATGTATGTAGTTATATATCTCTCAATAGTACAATTAAAATGACACAAACTTTTATTATCACATTATTACTTGTATATTTATACCTAAATAAAATTTAATTATATATCAAAATCAGAATACATAAAAATTGTCCAAAATCCACACTATTTTTATTGCCTTTAAAAAAAATTAGTTACAAAATTCTAAATTTTACTACTTTATTAAAGACCTTTATTAAATCATAACCTTAAAGATATTATATTCTTAGAATATTTGTAAAACTAGTTTTCTAATCTCATCTTTAAAACTCCAAAAAGATCTTCTATATATCTTAGATCCTTGTATTTTTGCCTTAAAGTCTAATTTTGACCTAGTCTCACAAACTTACATTATTAATACATTAATTTCACCACTTTTGTAATAAAATTTATAAAATTCTAATCTTAAATTTGTGCTAGAATTATTATTATTTTTTAAAACTATTTCATCTTATTTTGATCCATTTGTGGTTTTATTAATTTGGTAGAAGCTTTTTTAATACAAAAATAGTATGAAAAATTCATATTATAGCTAAGATCAATCTATTAGCTATAAAAGTCTAAGATAATAATAATTAAACTTATATTAGATTTCTTTTTACATATTTTGATCAATCTTTTTATCAAATAAGTCTATTACAATACAATAACAACTTAGTAAATTGAATGAAAATAAGATCTTTGATAATAATTGGCTTGATATCAAAACTTTGTAATTATGGTTTAATTTATGGATCAAGAGAAATTACAAATTGGACTTTATGGGGATTTTTTTTTTTTTTTTTTTTTTTTTTTTTTTTCATTAACTTGCATTCAATAGTTGTTACAAATTTTATTGTGTGTGTTGATTAAAAATTAAAAATTACTGCCATTTTATATTTTATTTTATATATAAATGAGATGGAAAATAATAAAAAATATTTTTAAGAAACTAATGTATTAAGATAGGTATTAATATTGTGGCATTGAGAATAGCAACAAGGAAAATAAAAAAATCTTCTATTGCCAATTGTTTCTTCAATGGAATTTATGGTACAAATTATTAAACATATTAATATTAAAAGAAATATTTTGTTTGTCACAATGTCAAATTTGATGCAATAATTCATTCCATGGCTTTTTAATGACAATATTCCATAAAACTATTTGCTATGTTCTATGCTAAAATGTTTCATAGGTCAATTCTAATATCTTCTCCATAAATTTAATTTTTTTATAAATTATTGTAAAGACTTCTAAGACCTTTAATTAATCCATAATTATTTTATAACATATCTATTACATTAAGCTAAGATATGTAATCCATCTATTCTATTCTTTTTGATATTAGACATCCTACACATTCTTCATTTCCATCCAACATACAAATTCTATTTACATAAATGCCAACACATATTCTGATCTTAACATTTCAACACAATAAATTTCATGTTGTTTGCATTGCATTTGATTATTTACTTTGTTCTAGATTGATTAGGTTCACATATTGTTAACAACACACCTAAATCTATGCTTCCTACTAACATACTCAAGTTCATATGTACTTTGCATTAAATTCTTTGTTCTAATCAAGGTTGCTTAAGTTCAAAGTTTAACATTGAAGAATTTCTTGCATACAAAATAATACCAAAGAGAAAAAGTTATCATTTTACAATGTAAATTCTAAATAAAATAAAAAAATTACAAATTTGCAATAGTGTGTGTTTATAAGTTTATCTACAAAGGCATTTTTTACAAATTATAAACTATAAATCATTCATAAATGGTTCAGTCATTATAATAGTATATTACATTCTAAAACTATTTAAAACAAGTTTTAATTATTTCAATATATGAGTTATATTAATTAAACTGGTTTATCTTAAATCAATCCATATTGGGTTGAAACAAATTTGGTTCAAATAAATGTCATCTTTAATTGTTATAAAGAAGCCTCTTTATTACTCTATTTATTACGTTAGATATAGTTCTTATGGATACTAAGTTAAGTTCTTATAGAGCTAAATTGAGATTTTGTATACTTTATAAGGAGTTTGCATGTATAAAAGAAGTTTTTTGCATACAATGAAGAGTTTATAGTATAAATAATGTTTTGAAGTACATTTCACTTACATGTTGCATACACAAAGATAAAGTCTTTGCATGTAGAAAAAATTCTATTAAAATATGTTTATTTAATTGAAAATATTTTTAATGTAAGAAAAAAAATTATAATCTAATATTTTAAATATAAATTATATTTTAAAAAATTATTTTAAAGTTACAATTTTAATGTTTATTTTAATAATATACTAGGATGTAGTTTATAAGAAAATAGAATATAATAATTATTTTTAAAAATAAATCATAAAATAGTATTTTTTTAATATTATTATAATTTTAATATATTAGAAATGTAAAATCAATTCTAATTACTATTTTATTATTTTAATATAGGTGCATTTGGCATTAGTTTAATTATTTAAATATAATGAATTCCATCATATGTTTTAGCTTATATTAAAATGAAGATTTGTATGTCAAGATAGACTTTTAGAAGAATTTCAAGAAATAAAAGAATAAGAAAGTAAATGTTGTAATAAAATTATTATTCTATGTATTTATTTTATTTTTTAATAAATAATATATCTATTTTAATATAATATATGTAAAGATTAAGTTTTTGGATCTAAGCTTAGCCAAATTGAAGTCAATTTAAAAAGTACAAGAGCAAGAAGGTAAAAAATATGGTATGAGCATAAAACAAGATTACTCTTCCAAATTTATATTTATTTTGTATTGATTTCTTTTTAATGTTGTATATGTAAAGTACATATTGATTTGTAGCAAGTATATAACATCATTTGTAGTAATAGTAGCAATTGTAGTAGAAGAACAAGGTTATATTTTTCACCATAGTCAAAAAAATTAGTAGTATATAATTGCAAGGTTTTATTACATTTACAATTAATTTGTTTTAAGAATTAGAAATAAGGTTGTAAAATTAAAGAAAGTACCTTTAGATTACTTTGGATAAGCTAAAGAGATTGAAAAAATATGCAAAAAAGAAAATAACCATTGTATATGGAAAAATTAAATATGTTTCTAATATTTATTTTTTATAGATATTATTTTTAGAATATATAATTATTCTGAAATTACATACAACATTAAAATCTTGTAGGTTAAATAAAGTAAAATAAAAAATTAAAAGAAGGGAAAAAAAAAAAAATCTAGTTGAGATTATCTTTATAATATGATGAAGAAATTATGTTTGGAATTCGTATTTGTTTCTTTTTTATTGTCTATGATATAATGGACTTGTGGATTAAATTAGAAATTATTGCATTGTAATATGGCCACACCATGAAAAGATTGATAAAGATTTAAGATATATGAAGAGAAGCCATATATATATATATATAATATAATATTTTATGCATTAATAGCTAATATATTAAGTTTAACTAATATATCTATGTCTCAAACTATGTATTATATCAAAAATGCTTCTAGGATCTTCATAAGGCTAATAATGGATTAAATTTTAATAGATTAGAAACAAATATAAAGTTTATTTTTAGAAAAAACCAAAGTTGGATTTTTATAAAATTAATTTAAAAAATAATAGGATTGATATTAAAGAGAAAACCATTTATAAAATAAGGTCAATTTTTTTTCAAAATAAGGCACAAAAGCAATAGCTACTAACAAAATTAAATTTTTATATTAAATATTAGTAGATATAATTAGATAGCTAGCTTAAAATAGATTCTAAAGGTACAAGACTTATAATAATTATGATTCAAAAACCTATAAAAAACAAGGTCTTTTTTTAGTAATAATTAGAAGAGAATAAAGATATAAAGTTAAGTTTGAATTTATTTCAATATTTTATCTTTAGCCTATAATTTAATATTTTATAATTATCTAAAACTATAAAAAAGCCATATTATTTTTAAGATTTGTGTTATTTGGATAATGTAATTAAAAGATATATAATTGTGTATATAACATGGTACCAAAAGTTAATGACTTAAGGTTAATTAGGATTTTTTTATGTATCTAAAGATTGAAAATTTTAATAAAGCCAGAATTTAATGAATTCTTAGAAGACATAAAAAAAAAGCTCTACAAGAGATTTGAACAAAAGTTAAAAATTAGATTAGGATACAAGAGATGTAGCTATTATAAGTCTTTACCAAAATTAGAATAGAAGACAAAGAAATATCAATGAAGGTTTTCTTTCAAGACTTATTAATTTATGAGATTGATCCATCTTAGGTTTAATTATGTAAATAATTTAAAATGACAATAATGTAAAAATTTTAAAGCTAATCTCAAATCCTAATTAGAGATTATCTCTTGTTATTGTTTATTGATTAAAATTTTGATTTATTTTAGAATATTCTAGGATTTAGGATTTTTAAGAAAGTTAAAGTTTCTAAATATTTTTTAAAAGTATTTTGTATTTAAAATTATAAGATGATTGTGATGCAATAAAAAATCTTTTATTGCTAAATGTATGGCACGCTTTCAAAAAAACCTATGTAATACAATAACATAATAAGATAATTACAAGAATTAGAAGAATAAAGAAGCAAATTTTGTGGTAGAAGTAAGAAGGTGAAATTATGCTTTTAATTTTTTTCAAGGTATTACTATCACAATTCTTTTTATTTACATAATGTGTATAATATTCATATATTAGATTTAAAATAGGCTTAAAAAAATATATGCTATGGTAGTTGTCATAGTAGAAAAATAAGACTATATTATTTATTATATTTCAAAGAATTATTAATATGAAGTTGTTGGTTTTATTTTTAAAAATATTAATTTATCATAAGAGCAAAAGACAAGGTTTTATAAGAAAATAAAGTACTTAAATACCAATGTTTACACACTGAAAAAATCATATTCTTTTTTAAAAATAAGACTTTAATTATTGTAATAAAAATTGGAAGATGAGATTATAATTTTTAATTTGTTTATCTTCTCTTACATTCATATTTATTTTTATGTTATAAATGTGATGGATGACTTAATTTTGAAATAAAAAATTAAAGAATTGTTTACAAAAGTAGTACCTTAGTAGATATTTGGATAAAACTATAAAATAAAAGAATCCATTAATAAATTAGATTCATGAGTACTATATCTTATTTTTAGCAAACATTTATTAGTACTAAATCTTTTGATTTTTAGTTCTTTTGCTTAAAATTTATCACTCATTATGCAAAGTTAGATGCTTTGAATTAGTTTTCAAAAATATTAAAATAATTACGTATATTCTCTGTAATTCATAGTATTATTTTACAAAATAATCAAATTGTAATATGAGACATGATATATTTTATTGCTTTAATTTGGTGCTAAAGACTGAAACATAATACTTATCATGTAGGATTCTACATTTTGTAATGATTTCTATACTAAGTAATAAAATACAAGCTTCCCAAAATAAAGTTGTTATTATGTGCCATGTATCATGTAAAGTATTTTATTGCAATGAGTGTAGTTTCTTGTCTGATACATAGCAACAAAAAAATATAATTCTAAAATAAAATAAAAAACATGAATTATTTATTGATATTATATGTGAATATTATAAAGTAAACCAGCTAAGTAATATTCTATGATTACGGAAATATCTATAGAAGATATTTAAAGTAAAAAATTTAATTATTAATATAATATTAATAATTTACTCTCATATTGGTAAAAAATATAGAGTTTTATTTTACAATAGATTATTTTACCTTAAAGCGTGTAACATTATTTCATTGTTAAATTAAATGTTTATATTCTGTAAATTCTTTAGTTAATTAATTTTTGCTATTTATTTCTAATTTTTAAGAAAACTCCATTTGAAGATCTCAAGCAATAAGTATTTTTCAATTAGATATAAAAAATTAATTCCATATATGCACATAAATTTTTCTTTCTTTGAATCTTTTTTACTAAACATTTTTTTTGTCACAAAATCTTTTAGTATTTTTGAAGGATGTGATTTATTCTTTAAAGTATATTTCAATGTTAATTTTATTTTTACAAAATTACTAAAGATAATATAAAATGAAGATTCATTTTTACTCTATTTTTGTGTCGTGAGACTTTATCTACTTTAAAGATGATTTGTAGTACTAGGACATTTTATAAAGTAGTTGTAGTCTAATATTATAACAATAAAATAATTTCTTATATCCAAAATAAAATTGCAATCATGTAATTAGATTTATCCAACTTGTCAAATAAATCTTCTTGCTTAAATATTATTGAAACAAGCCAATAAGTTCAAAAGAAGACAATAGTGCTAAGACATAGTCACAATAGAAATTTGTATTGCTCTTATGTACTACTAAACAAAGTATATTTTTTGAGTTTGAAGTGTAATTATAACAAGGCATTGGAACAAGTGCTTGGATATACTTCCAATAAAATAAGTGTGGCTTAGAAGCACTTTTAAAGATCTTTTGAGAGAATAAGGTAATTGACTACCCTTTCATTTTTGACTCATAGGTGGAGTATTTCTGCTAAATTGGTGATCTATTGTTGATCAATTATGACATTTTGTGGTGAAAAATAGGTTGAAGGCCAAGCAAAAATGATGTTAAATTGTGAGCAATATAAACAATTCATTGTACTTAGAATCAATATGCATAAATTGTCAATAATCAATTTCTACATTAGTAGAGTTGCACATATGTGGCGATTGATTATGTATTGGCCAATTAGAGATTAGTGGAATCGAAAGATGAAGGATGTGTAAGATATTGTTTGGAAATGAGCAAAAACAAAAAAGAACGGTGGCAAAAATCTTACTCAAACATGGTAGATTACTTTTAATTGGATGTTAGAATTTTTGTTGCCTCATCCACACATTTACATCTACAAGTAGCATCGGACTGATTTGATGCCTGTGTGGACAAGAGGCAGGATGAATGAACTACACCCAGCAGAGTGTAGAAGCGAGTTAAAAACATACAAAAATTAAAATTAAATTTTTGGCTAAAAGACCATCACCTAGGCTGCCTTGGTCACCTCTTCTGACACAAGATGGTCATGAGGATTGCAAAGCACCAAGTACCTTGTTCCCTCTTCGTCTAGTCAAACAAATTGATATGTCCAAACTGTTTACAAATGGTAATTCTTTACATGCCTGGAGTCTAACCCTAAACCCTAAATTTTTAGTGTGATGAAATCTCCCTCGCAGCAGCGTCGTATTTGCACTCTCCCATTTACACACTTCTCTGGCAGCTTCATGAAAATCTCCATAGCTCGTGACTGTCCTGGGCTAACATATACAAGCGCTGTCTTCACAAAATTCAGATGAGGCGCTGTTGTCATCACCTGCAAGGTACATCTCAAGGCCTACAACTCCACTGTACAATGTGTTTTCATCAATTTTGGGGAGATGGCTGTTCTTGTTAACTCCAGGGTAAGGTGCCTCCTCGTCAACTCGTAGATAGCTATATATATGCTCGGAATATAATCTCTCTGCGTAATAACTGCAAGCGTCTCCCTGGGATCCTTCTTCACACACTTCAGCACTGTTGTCCAGAAGAGGATCATAGTTAATCACACACACAGAGTCGGGACTATCCGTGCGAGGGTGCGTTACTGTGTAATACCCTAAGATCTGCTGGTCTGTGGCCATTACCTCAACGACAAAACCGGGCATCTGGGTCACAAGAGCTACACCAAGACCCGACGTAGCTCCAAAGCCTTGAACCCATAGGTATTTCAAATGTGGCAAGTTGTTTAAGATTGAGATTGCAAGCTGCTTGTCGCTAAAGGGACAATTACGAAGTTCCAACCTTTCCAGCTGCCGACAACCTTCAGCCATGAGGCGGAACCCTTCGTCAGATTCACCTGAAGAGCCCAAGAGAACCCACTTGAGCTTCGAGCCAAATTCTCCGATGTATCCCAACCCTTTGTTCGACAGGCCGCCTGGCCGTAAGTACACCGAGAACCGACTCAGCATTGGGCAGCCTTGAAGGAGCAAGCGGATGCCGTCATCGAGTGGCAAGTCCTCAACGTCATCCTGATCCTGGTAGAGTACATTATGTCATGATACCTAGAGCACTGACAGAATCACTTAAATCTAATGGGTTCAGGTTGAAGTTCACTTAAACTGCAATCAGAAACTGCTCTATCCAACAATGCAAAATTAGGTTGTAGATCATCGAACGTGATTACAGAAGGGGCGTGAATAACCTCAAGCAACACAATGCGGAAGTCGCTGAGTTTCGGCAGGTATTGACCGACAGCAGCAAGTGCTGCGTTGTTGACGTCCGTAAGATACATGACAAGGAAGTCGAGCTCTCGACACCCTTCGCAGATGCTAATCATTCCCTTTTGTGTCACATGGTTTGTCATGTACGGTGAAGTGTCTTGATCGACTCGAATTTTCTTCAGTTGCTTGCAATTCTCGCTAATCACCTGCATTCCCCAGTCCCCTACAACACTTCGCAGCTACACATCCCACCATGCATTTAACATCAGATTCGTGGTTATAAACATGTTCAATGTTCTATTGGAGTCACAACCAGAGTTTCGATTTCATTAACAAGCTTTAGAACGTGTACGGGTGAGTGTGCACCTCAAGCTCTTCGACACTACAGCAATGCCTCAAGAGTTCGATCTGAATTTCAGCATTCAAAGTGGTAAACTTGAGATCAAGAATTTTGAGCTTTGATAACCGCGACGAGAACGAGGGTACCAATTCCTTTGGATCCTCCTGGCTTAAACTGTAGCAGCCAAGACCTAGCTCTACCACCGGCACCTCGCTGTTATCCAGGATCTTAAAAAAGCTGCCCAGCTCCATATCGCTGACCCTGAGGGAGGAGATGCACTTAAGGGACGGTGCGAGCTTCAGCAGCACCTCCTTTATGCTCTCCTCCTCCAACCCTGCAGACGCTATGTTCAAGCTTTCTAATTTGCCGTCACCCTTTTCCAGCAACTGCAGCCAAGGCCCACCAGTGTCTTCCATATCGTGACTTTCGTCTATATCCAGTACCCGCAAAGTTCTGAAGAAGACGAAAAACAAGGAGTACAAACCAATGAGACCATGATCATCGAGTTGAGAATATAAATTCAAACTGGACTTACTCGTCTCGTGCATTCACTACTAATTGATATTACGTAAAGTGATATTGATGGGAAAACTTTCAATTTTTCGAATCGAATCCGTGAACTTCCTACTCATTTGAGACCGCGATCCTAAGTGGGCAGAATACCTATGACATACCTGCAGGACCGTGTGATGAACTCAAGCCCCCTAGTACTGAACCCCGAGCACTTGTGCAGCTTCAACTTCTGCCATAGCCGCGACCCACAATTGTCAATGGAAAGACTACTCAACCCTGCACTCACAATTTGCCATGTGCAAAAATAATCCCGGCTATGGCTGCTTCGCTGCAATCCCCAAGTATCAACATGAGAAAAAGTAGACGAGAACTACCCGCAAATTGGGGCATCGGGAGGCCAGAAGCATCAAATCCTTGTCGGTGATGTCCATGCGACGCAAAGCAAGCCCCTCTAGATTAGGGTATACGCTCGCAATCTCTTCAATCCACGGACCTGCATGAGCGCCCCAACTCTCGACCAGTAGACCAAATTCGTAAGCTCGTGGTTTACCCTTTATTTTAATCTTTTCCAAGTTTGGAAACCGTTTCGAAAGGTTGGAGGGTGCAATGGAGTAACAGTTGAAAATGTAAATGTTCTTCCTCGTCAGACCGTCCACCCTATGCCACTGCTTGCACACCTGAGAGATTGCTCTGCGGTCACCTTTGGACCCTAGCCGATCGAATATCAATTCAATAACTGACTCCGGCAGCTGATTGAAAATGCATTTTTTAGTTGGCCCATGTTCATTCCCCCGAAAAAATCTGCTTCTTATGTTTCCATCTTCTCTCCAGACAACCTCCGCAGCCATGGCTGAATCCTCTATTTAGATAACCCAACGGCGTGAAACCCAATTTTACCTGGTGAATGAAGCTCACAATAATCTAAGTACCTCAGTAGTGGTATGTGCTACTATCCTCTGCGCCCTTGACAACGAACGGGCGGAATTCCCACATACCGGGAAAAGAAACCAGTTGAAGCAACAGCAGCACCTCCAATCTTGTTGACAGGTTTGTCGGGCAACTTTAGAGTTTATCACTGAACTGCGGCACAAAAAGAATAGAGTGTAAACAGCCGTTAGTCACACACCACGGCTAGCAAGTCAACGACTTGATGTCCTCACAATCAGAAGAAAGAACATGGAGGTCTGTGAAAAGCTGCAGCAACTCATTACCCGTAATCTCGCAACAATCTGAACCATGAAGGTAGATTTGCTCAAGAGGTGAAACTCTTAGCATTCCCGTGAAATCGTTGTGAGTGAAATTAGGAAACGCAAAAGCTTCGAAGCGGTAAGCCGGTTTCCTAATCGATCCACGGCTTTTAACTTCGGGATGCAACTGAGTGCAGTCATCTATTTCGGCTAATACATGTCCATTAAATGGAACGACTCAACAACCAGGAAAGACTATCACGGCCACTCCATCACACGTTCCGACACTTACAGAGCACCTTAGGCATCTGAACAACACTGTTTGGCAAATCACAAGTTCGTTCAACTGGGACCGGCGTTTCAGGCGCAGAGCGATAAAGGGACATTACCGCAATTGGGACGGTGCGAAGAAAACAGAACATCAAATACACAGAGTCAAGCATCAATTCCCACACCTTGGACAACGCAGTAAGTGACGGTACACCGGACCGCAATTCTACGAGTGTTTACACCGAAGGTCGCAGCAACCATACACAAAGACACGAAGACAAGGTATGGGAGATAGTGAAGTTAAGATCCCTCGAGTAAGAAGACGATTAAACTAACCTCCAAAAGGCAACTCATTAACCCAAGGGAATCTTCGAAAGACACACAAGCCTTCTCCCATCTGCACTCTTGACCCGTACTCCTGGTCCCTCCACGCTCATAAGTCGCACTCTAGTTGGGAATCTCAGACAGAGCTGCTCCAAGCTCTCTCAAGCCTGTCATACTTCCAGAGTTTTTCTTCTACAAGGCAATTCTTCTTACACAGTCTCACCGTGCAGACTCACCAGTTACAGCCCCCATTTCCACATGAAATGACATGAACCTGTCCCCAATCTGACCCCACTTTCAGCTGCAATCATGCCGAGATAGTCTATGATACCCTCTCCTGCTGGCTATCGCGACCTCAAAGCCCTGGGAAAATAAACAATAAGGCATATTCCAGTCAAGGACGACAAGATACCGCTGCAGAACTCCACTAGTAATTAATGAGACGTCTCTCACGAGGGTCAGGATCCCGGACGAAAGTCTCGAAACACCCGCTCGCGAAAACGAGGTGATTCAACAGTGGAAGCTGGATGCGCAAGCGGGATTGGTGACGACATCGTGACGGCACTCAGTCTAACCTTGTGGCACTTGTGCGGGTAGCCTCTCAAACGCAGTGCAATGTTCGATTCTGCGAGGCGGGTGTGTACGTTGTCGCCCTTGGTTTACACGATACCGACTCTCTGCACTATGCAGATCATGCTGATCTCTGAGCGTTTTGCCTCCCTGAGTCTCCGAACCGACCCCACTCAGGGGCATGTCTGCTAAGCATCGCTGGAAGCTCGATTCCATTCAAAAAAGCCCTGTCACTGAAGAATCCTGCTCTTCCGGGGCGAATTCCTCCACCTGGGTTATGATCGCTGCCCCTTCGCCGTCTACACTTCCGCGCAATTTTCAAGAAGTTTAACCTTCCTCGACGTCTTCGCATTTTTCGACACGAGCATCCACGACGTGGGAGCTCGCGGAATTTTGTGCGCCGAAGCCACACACGCTTGTTCGAAGGCCTCCCCTCATTCATCCATTCGTAATATCATCCAGCAAACGGGGGCATTCATCCTTCATATATGAGTCAACGAATGTCCTCATTCATTCTCTCAGTCAATTCTTGACGTCGTTCATTCGACAGCTGATGAAGTATTGTTTTTTACAAACAGTACAGTATTGTTCATAAATGACAAACAGTACAGTATTTTTTTTTACAAACAATTTAATATTAAATAATTTGTTGATGCTTTAAGAATCCAAAATATTAATGAAGAAGAATATAATCATTAGGGAATTAAGCTTTACACACGTGTATGTTTATATGTTTATATATATATATATATATATATATATATATATTAAAACAAAAATTCAAAATAAGATCAAGCACTTAAACAACTTTTAGTTTACTTCAGTATCTTAAAAAAAACACATCGACTGAAAGATTGAAGCGTGTTCTAATTTATTTATCTATCTGCTTCCATCTATGGATGTGTGTATGTATATATATGTATGTATGTATGTATGTATGTATGTATGTATGTATGACAAACGGTACAATGACTTATTATTCAATAGTATTTTTTAAGCAAACATTTGAGGAATTTTCAAAATTCTTAGTAACAGTACAGAGGAGTATTAAAAGAATTCGAATGATTTAAATTCTTTTAAATTAACCTATGGAAACCTTGATGATTTGAATAGAATATACAGATATAAATATATATATATATATATATATATATAGAGAGAGAGAGAGAGAGAGAGAGAGAGAGAGACTGTGTTTTTTTAGAAAACATTATATCAATCAATGAATTTGATCATTTTAAAATGTTAAAAAAGTATCCATCTATACATTATTCTTTCAATCTTGCCAACTGTATTTATTATTCTTTTTAGCTATTGATAATGGATAGAATTGTGTGAGAAGATTATTGCATTATTTGTTTCAATTCCAGCCTTCAAACATATTGCAGATTGTTATTTATAGATTGTCAATTAATTATTTGAATAGACGAAAAGCCAATAATTAAACATTGCCTAATTTTTTAACATTGAATAAAACTTTCATTATTATTATTTATTTAATAACAAAAAAAGAATCTTTATATGATAGAATGTTTGTTTTGAGTCATTCTTTTTAAAATCAACACACTTCAATTGGTTCTGCAAGCACACGCACGAACAAGCTTCGACATGGTTTCCAAACTCAAACTAACAAAAGTTAAATGGAAAAAACGAAAAAGCTATCGAGGAGAAGAAGAACGAAAAAGTTAAAAGTAAAAGGTACAGCTCATGCTTCAGATAGCGGCGGCCATTCGGAATCGCGACCTCGTTATCAGGGTTTAAACCTCCTTCTCCTCCTCCTCCGCACTGCTGCTCATCACGAGGCACCAGCGCCAACGCTGATGTGCACAACTGAAAGAAGGAAACGGAAAAGAAAACCCCTTTTAGCAGCGAGTAATCCCGACAAAACAGAAGCTACAAATCGAGCTTTTCCTTCTGGGAATAAGTGTGTTTTTTCGAGAACCTGGTGGATGACTGACTACATGCATTCCTGCATCGTTGCAACAGCGAGCTGCTCGACGAAAGCGTTGGCTGGTTTGAGTTGGGAAGATTTCCCCGTTCCCTGGAGAGATCAATCGCGCGAGCTGCCGGATCAGAGGGAAAGTGGGGGACGGTCGGATCAGTTGTGCCACGTTCTAGATCGCATATAACCGGTCGATGTGGGCCCAGATCTGGCCGAATCTCCCGGTCTCAGATCACACCTTTTGGTGCTCAAATGTTAGGGGTGGCGGGCTTAAATTTCCGCACAGCTGATCTAGGACAGATTGTCATTCAGGGAAGGTCAGTGTTGCTCACCAGATCGACCCTCGTTGCCTGTGCCCGCTACTACCTGGTCTGCAATCTGTACAAGTGCAATGGTTGCTGTACTGTCTGCCGTATCATTCTGATGCAGTATGGTTGCTTTGGCGAGAGTTTCTGGACGAGGGTGAGCGATTGTGTTAGTGCCGGCAGCACTGTGTCTGATACTGAGGCAACGTTGACAAAGAGGCGGCTGCGTTTGTCAGATTCCGTCAGTTGGTTGCTTCGAACAGTGCGTTTTAGTTTGATCGATGTGCTGCGCGGCAGCGGATCAGCTTAAGTGGGTGGAGCTGTGTGGGTTTCGTCCTTCCTCCTGTTAGAGAAAACTGCGCACGGCGAGGTCGAGCGTTAACAACGGATCAAATGCGTGGTTTAATTGGGCGTGTGCGCTGAAGGGGTCGTCAGTTGGGGAGGTGACGCGGTCAATGCGTGGTTTCGTTGCTTGTGATCTGCCTCGCTGTTCCGACGTCTGGTAAGCGTTTTGAACCCGTTTCATTTCGACGAGCGCGGCATTGGTAATCTGCAAATCTCGTGGTGCATCTTCACAAGTCTTCACACATCATGCTTCCTGTTAGTAGTATACTGTCGAGACGAACATGTTTGTCAAACTCTAGCGGATACTCGAAGGTTTGAGGTAGTCCCAAGTAAAGGTTGGGGGTTGAACGATAATGAGATGGATTTTAAGTCGGGTTCTCTTGAAGATCCGACTACATGTTCTTAGTTCTTCCAAGTAAATATATCAAATCCACATCCGGTTGTGGCAATCGTTCGTTCTTACGGACCCGCCTTTACACCGATTAGGGTTGAACAACTCAAGGATGTGTTTTGGTTCAATAGGGTTCGAATGACCAACCCAAATCAAGTGTAGGCTTCTTTACTTTGACGCGAAGCGGATTTTCTTCAAGAACATTAAAATGTTGCAGTTGTTCCTAAAAAGCGACGATCGATGTTCACATTCACTTATTCCGTAATGTCAGTGCCTATAGAAATAGCTCTAATTGCTCCACTCAGATTTATTTCGTTAGCGAGTGCGAGTGAATCAAATTCAAATAAAATTCCAAAAACAGAACGAAGGCTATGATATACAGCCAGTGGGCAGGAGGTTGCGAAATAGGAAGGCAAATGTGGAGAAACGAGCACTAAATGGAAATCACATGTGTAGGAGCAGTTTTCTCGGCGTGATTCTTCGAGTTGACCTCGGACAGACGCGGATTCAGTCTATCGGTGAGACCTAAGAGCTATTCGGCAGGGGAACGGGAGAGCAGTGGTGACGAGCGAAAGAAATCAAAGGCGGGTGACGATCGAGAGGTAAGGGTGAAGCTGCAATCTCCGCCGTGAGGCCGGGCGAGGCGAGGAGGAGGCAGGACAAGTGCGTGGTGGCAGCCATGAGGAGGGGGGTGAACCTGGTGCCGGGGCAGAGCTTCACGCACTCGGTGCTGCAGCGGAACACGGAGAACCTGAAGGACCTGTACACATTGGGGCGGAAGCTTGGGCAGGGGCAGTTCGGGACCACGTACCTGTGCGTGGAGAAGACGACGGGCAAGGAGTACGCGTGCAAGTCCATTGCGAAGCGGAAGCTGATCTCGCAGGAGGATGTGGACGACGTGCGGCGGGAGCTGCACATCATGCACCATCTGTCCGGGCATCCCAACATCGTGACGATCAAGGGCGCGTACGAGGACCAGGTGTCGGTGCACCTGGTGATGGAGCTGTGTGCGGGCGGGGAGCTGTTCGACCGGATCATCCAGCGCGGGCACTACTCGGAGGCGCAAGCCGCGGAGCTGTGTCGCGTGATCGTGGGCGTGGTGGAGACGTGCCACTCGCTGGGTGTGATGCACCGGGACCTGAAGCCGGAGAACTTCTTGCTGTCGGACCCGAGCGAGAATGCGGCGCTGAAGACGACGGATTTCGGGCTGTCGGTGTTCTTCAAGCCCGGGGAGGTGTTCACGGACGTGGTTGGGAGTCCGTACTACGTCGCGCCGGAGGTGCTGCGGAAGCACTACGGTCCGGAGGCGGACGTGTGGAGCGCGGGGGTGATCCTGTACATTCTGCTGAGCGGGGTTCCGCCGTTCTGGGCCGAAACGGAGCAGGGCATCTTCGAGCAGGTTTTGGCGGGCGAGCTGGATTTCGTGTCGGAGCCGTGGCCATCGATCTCGGAGAGCGCGAAGGACCTGATCCGGCGGATGCTGGACCCGGTGGCGAAGCGGCGGCTGAAGGCGCACCAGGTGCTGAGCCACCCGTGGATTCGCGAGGCGGGCGTGGCGCCAGACAGGCCGATGGACCCCGCGGTGCAGTCGCGGCTGAAGCAGTTTTCGGCGATGAACAAGCTGAAGAAGGTGGCGATCCGGGTGATCGCGGAGTTTCTGTCGGAGGAGGAGATCGCGGGGTTGAGGGAGATGTTCAAGATGATCGACACGGACCACTCGGGGTCGATCACGTTCGAGGAGCTGAAGAGCGGGCTGGAGAGAGTGGGGTCGAACCTGGTGGAGTCGGAGATCCGGCAGCTGATGGACGCGGCGGACGTGGACCAGAACGGGACGATCGACTACGGGGAGTTTTTGGCGGCGACTCTGCACCTGAACAAGATCGAGCGGGAGGAGAACCTGTTCGCGGCGTTTTCGTGGCTGGACAAGGATCACAGCGGGTACCTGACGGTGGACGAGCTGCAGCACGCTTGCAGCGAGTACAACATAGGCGACACGTCGATCGAGGAGCTGATTCGGGAGGTGGACCAGGACAACGACGGGCGGATCGATTACAACGAGTTCGTGACGATGATGCGGAAGGGGAACGGCACAGTGGGTCGCGCGACGCTGCGGAACAGCTTGAGCCTGTCGGACGCATTGATGCACACGAACTGAGGGGCGGGGCAGAATGTTTGATAGGGATGGGTAACGGTAAGGCGACGGCGGCCGTGGATGGGTCGGAGAGGGGTGGAGCATCGGCAGCAATGAGCGTGCAGCGGTGCGGAGGCGTTGATTCGATTAGAGAGAATGCCGCGAGGAATAGCAAGGGCGTAGGTGGAGAAGGTGGTAGGGTTTGTTGGCTCTCGGGGCGAGGGGGGTTGGAGACGATGCCAAGGCTCGGGACTGTTGGTGTACATGAGGTAAAGAATGGGGGGCTGGAAAGAGCGGCAGAGCAGGGAGTTGGGTGAGAGGGGAGGTGGATCCCATTCGTGGGCAGCGATGGTCGTGCGGAGGGAGGGAGGGAGGGAGGGAGGCTGTGATGGGGTGCAGACTGATCTCGCCTGTGCAGAGGCAACTGCAGAGATTTTGGAGTAGCTACTGGGAGCAGAGCCAAGGTTTTATGACGCTGGGCTGTTGTGATGGCATGAGTTGTAGGAATGTGTAAACGGAGATTGATGTGGACGCTGGCATTGGATAGTGGCGAGGGCAGGTTCGGAAGTGCTGGCGCATGAGTAGTGGCGCATTGAACAGAATGAATTGGGATTAGTGATGGTGATATGCAATTTCAGTAGAGTTGGCGTGTTGGAGGTCCAGGTTCGTGTTGTGGCTGGGCAAACAATTGGTCTGGTTAGGACATGTGCATGATCGCCTCCAGCTGATGTTGTTTGGTAATGGTGAGGTAGAAAAGTGGTTGGCATGTTCTCTCTGTTTACTTGTTTAATGTTTTTTGGAGCGGCTCTTTTTATGTAGGGTGTCCGAGTGAATTTGCTTGTCCATGTAGCTGTGGGTGCGGAGATCAGGTCTGTCGGTTGTTATGTTCAGATTCTGCAGACCCTCGTTAACCTTCTGAACTGTTGGTGAATGTAAATATTTCAGTTATTATTTGACCTTTTTGGAGGAGCTATGGAATTGGGTTTACTAATATTTTAGCCTGGATACCCCCTATGAGACTGTAGAGAACAACAGCATGTTCACTGTTAACTTCAGTCTCCAAGACAATAATTCGTCAACAAATCAATTACAACGCGTTGCTTGCAGCATGCTGGATCATTCGGTCATGGGTACATTTTTCATCCAAATCATGCGTTCTTACACCTGTTCGTGAGACCATGGGAGTAAATGACAGTTATAGAGCAATGTGCAGTAGTCGATGTGACGCAGTGACCATGTAAACAGGCTCTGGTAGCGTGATGATTGGTTTTCATCAATATCGTACCCCCACTCATTCAAATGTGTTAGGAAGTTAAGTAAATGAAGAGTAGTTGCCTAGTTGGGGAGAAATCCTGTAGGAATATGAAAGTCTTTGAAGAGCTGGCTAGACAACAGAATGGAAATGTGGATGTTGCCGAGGCTTGGTTGTTCAGTTCATCTTCGTCTATTGCTAGTGCTGGCTTCAAATCACAGAAGATATATCCATGTAATGGAATGCTCCTGAATTGATTCAGAAACTGCAGGTGATATTGGTGAAGTGCTGGATTAGCATATACTGCGTCTTCGCTTTGATAGAAGCATATTTTTAACGTGGAAACATATTTTTTGCCCAAAGCAATACTGGAGTTTAGGAATCTGTCTTACAGACACGTTAATTCATGTAAGTGAAAAAAAATTGCATCATCTGAGGGTTCTAAGATTAAGTTTAATTCATGAAGTTTATAGATAATGAATTTGACATGATATGAAATTGTATGATATGAAAAAATTTATGAGTGTACCTGGAGTAAGTATAATTATAAAATAAATAAATAAAATTGTTGTTAACTATCATTTGATTCTGTATAGTGTCTCTTAGCTCTTGATGACTTGCATTTTTCAAATTGTTAACTAAGGTGAACTCTTAATACATAATTGGACATTTTGTCAAGATAGAGTAATTGATTTGTATAATAATTTTTTATTTGATTAATAGGATTTAAGCTCCTACAATAGTATGTAATGTTTTAATTATCCAAAACATTTTAAAGTCTTAATATATTAATCTAAAATCTATATATAGTGATGTTAATGTCACCATATCCTTTTATAAGAGTTTTTGCTACTACCATCATGATTTATTCTTCTTAATATTTTATATAAATTTAAAAATAAAAACACATCAGATATATAAATAGATTTTTTTTATTGAAAATAAATAAAGAAATATATTGAATAAATGGTGGATTGTGGTGGCAGTAACAAAAACTACAATGACATGTGGGGGGTGGTCGATTGCAATAGCAATAGCAAAAACTGTGGTGGCAATACTCAACATACATAATAAATTTTATATTTCTATATAATCTTTTATTTTTTGAAATTTCTCTCTCTTTATATATATATATATATATATATATATATTGGACTCAAATAATTTGTGGAGTCTATCTAAAAATGTACATTTAAAAAAATATGTCTAATAACAATTATATATATATATATATATATATATATATATACACATATATAGGAAAATGATAAAACGATCCAAATTTTTACTAAATTGACCCACATGCCTCATTCCCCCCATTCCCAAATTTCCCCCTATTCTCAACTGTCGCCCTTGTTCCTAAAGTTCCCAACCTGCCACCCCCATCTGTAGCAATGGTTGGGAATGGGGAACGGCTGGGAATAAGGATGGGAACTCCAAGGGTGCAATGATGCTTAAAATGGAGTGGGTCCCTTTAATAAAACTTTGGATCACTTTATCATTCTCCTAAATAATATATATACATATATATATATATATATATATATATTTATATACATATATATATATATATATATATATTAATCAATCTTTGATTAGGGATAAGGATTCCTATTCTTGTAAATAATTAACTTTTTCTCTTGAATAAGCAATAATAATAATAATAATAATCTCTCTTAAAAAATAGAGAATTTTAGCACTTAGAAGACACTTAGTTAAGTCCTGTGAGGTTAAATTAGAGGTGTTATTAATTAGTTGTATTTGGGTAAGATCTCAACTTTCATCCTGTTTGATACTATTCTACAAACTTGATTACCGCATGCCATCCTTTTATTGTTTAGAAGCAAGAGTTCTGTAGATCTACTTGCAAACACTTCGCCAAACCTGCTATGTTGTCTTTTTCGCACGTAATTGAAAGAATGGTTTTGCAAACCATGATTGTGCCAAATTGGGTCGAATTTTCGACGTGTTAAAGTTCGTGAAATCGATGTCGCAGTGCGAAATTTTGTGGTGGGGAATCTTTGAGTTGGACATAAGAGGTGGTTTGTGAGCAGAGCCCTGGATCCAAATCAATAAAGTTAGTTTTCCGGCTTGAATTTGCGTGAGAGTGAGACTGTTTAGAGGACGTGCAGAGGATGGTAGAGTGGGTGCAATCAATCACACATTCTGTTGCAGGTTGAGAAGTGAATGAATGCGAAGAAAAACGAAACATCGGAAAGCCACTTCGGGTGTTTGAGTGAAGAACGTTGTTCGTTCAAGGCTTTTCATCCGTGGGGCGGAACCAAGAGCAAGACTTATGCTCGGATGGGCTTTCAGAAATTCGAGCACAACTTTGTTGTCACGTGAAACAACAGCAAAGATTAGCCGCAATCAGGAGGAAGCGACTCAGCTCGAATTTGCACAATGGAGAAATACGAGGTGTGATCGAGTGTGATTTCTTTGCTGCAGGGTTTGTGGTGCTGAGATTTGAGAGGAATTGTATTGAATTTTGTGTAATAATTTACCTATTATATTTGGTAGCAGCCTTTGGATGCTTGTTTTGGGTTAATACTAATTTTATGTCTCTGTGGCACACGCGCCTTTGTTTACAACCTAGGGTTTTGTGGTGAAGTTCCGGTTTCAGTCTGAGGTAGTGACGCCGGTTAGCGGGAAGATGTTGCAAGAGCTGTTTGTTGCAAGTGCTTGTGTTGATATCAACGTTCGTAAGCAGTCTTTATCCGATATACATGCAACTTGGTGCGCTCACCAATTGGACGCTTGAGGCAGTGCGTCGGATAAAGATGTTTTCGCTTCTATTTCCCAATACTTTAGGTTTACGTCCATATCTGGGTGGGAGCAGGTGGAAGAAAAGAAGCAGGCAGCGGCAGATGCATTGATGCACTACTCGCAATTCGCTATGGTGTGCATCAGCCAAGGCGTGTCACCGAGCAAGCTCCGGCTCCATCTGCTCAAGGTTTTCCGCTGATCTAACAACTGACTCAACCATCTGTCAACCTTCGAGATTTTAAAAATACTGATTCGTAGTTTGATAACTTTTTCGATGCTAAACCTTATTCTCGTTGCTCTGTCGGCCGAATTCGCAGGAGATCTCGGGAATGCCAACTGCGCTTAAGAAGCAATTTCCCCAACAAAGCTCCCCATCTTCGGCGAGCAATGTAACCTCGAAGGATCGTGGATCGTCCTCGTCGGGTGTTGTTGCTGCCGCTGAGATGCCGATCGACAGGTTTCCTCACCTTCAGAATCGGGACATGGGTGGCTAGTGGCAAGAGTCTTTCAAGCTCCTCCACTTCATATATAAGGTAATCGAGCATTTACTTGTGCCAAGGAGAGCCAATTATCCAGTGCTAGTTACTATTTCAGTTCAGATATTAACAAACATACGGTTAATATGCTTCGGTTGACTGTAACTTTGTTAAAAAGTTGTGAAAACCTGTATCTGATCAGTCATCAATGGACATACTTTCATATCGATGCAGGGACAGCGGTGTTTCGTGAGAGATAAACAATCAAGGAATGAAATTGTTGCTAGATTGTTGCAGACTCCGACCGTTTGCTAACCATTTTCGCTAATGCCGCGTTCGTTTGTGGGTGTTAGGCGAATCTGCGTAAAGGAGATATGGAACCTATTGCTTCGTAGGCGTGGTGGGGTCGCAACTGAAACAGAATAGGATCTAGAATTAGGAGCAAAGGAGATTGAGCGGCTACGCCACTGTGGTCCTATCGCTACACTAATCTTACGAGATAATTGCAAAAAAGGTTGTCATCTGGGCACTCAATAACAGAATTAGGGTTTTGGTTTTGTTAGATGTTCATAAAATTTCAAGTGATTTTCTTTTTCTTTCTCTGAGGATTTCGTATTTTTTTTGCTTGTCTACAGAATTGCTTATACCAGAATGTTTAAGTGGTTGTAGTTATGGAAGTGAATTTTTCAGATTCAACTCGATAAAGCAGAAATTATGGCAGATTCTTGAGTCACATTCTATTGTATTATTTAGTGAAAAAATATCGTTGGATTCTATGCCAAAATTTTGTTTTTAAGATAAAATCATGAGATCAAACACACTCAGAAAACTAGTTTGCAAAATGTGTTTTGTCAAGTTGAAAAGGTTATGTCAAAAATATAAAACATTAGCTTAAGATTTGGATAATTCATGACTTCCAAAACACCATAGTGTAATGAAAAACAGAAAGTCAGAAATTTTTTAAAGATATTATTTCAGAGCTTGCGCAATACGAATGCTTCACTACATTACTAATTACATCAGTGTACATGCCCTCCACCCAAACACATGAAAAAGTGAAGGACGTGGTGGAGCGATCTCAGGAGAGTGAACGAGGTGTTTCTCAACTGCGGGAGCCGTCAGAGAAGAGTGTTGTGGCTTTAGCTGTGGACGTGGGCCATGTGTAAAAGAGACAGAGAGCAGCGGCCTTTGTGTATGAGTGCCCGTGCAAACTGGTGGTGGGTGATGGGTGGAGGATGCTGCTATGCAATGGCCGTTGCCAGGTGTGAGGGGCATTGCACATGAAAAGCGTGGCAGTGAGTGGGAGAGAAGCGGAGGTGAGATGAAGAAAACAGTGTTTTGTGATTTGGAAGAGGTGGATGTGCACAGCGCGTGGGAAATGGGATTAAGTCTGTGGTGAGTGAGTGAAAGAGTCGATTGGTCTCATTGGGATGCCGTGGAGAGAATGCCAGACTCCCATCCTGCAGAAAGAGATCTGGAAGAAAAAGGGTGTTTCATGCGTGGGCGTGGGGCAGACAGATTCCTTCTGCAACGCGGGTAACCTTCGTGAAGGCAGGTTTCTCGGGCATCACCAGGCGGCGGCCTTCGAGTGTACGAGAGGTGATGGGTGGAAGTGTAATGGTCACTATTGATAATGTTGAAATTGTTTATCTCATTCACCGCCCTCAGGTTGGCTGGAATAGCTCAGTTGGTTAGAGCGTGTGGCTGTTAACCACAAGGTCGGAGGTTCGACCCCTCCTTCTAGCGTACCGGCTCGCGTGTTCAGTCTTAAACGTTGACCTTTTGTCAATTCCTTTTCAGTCAACTCTGGCGATCCTGATCAAAACTATAGCATTGGAGACCCTCTGCGATTGCAAGTTAAGATTCAATCCTAAGCTAGAGATTATGTGAAAGTTGTGAAAGTTAGAGATTAAAGTGATAGAGATTGGAGTAAACCTCGATATTAAGGATATAAGCTTTGATTCTTTAATCAATCATTGCCATGTGCATAATGAACAATTTTCTTCACTTGCCTTCTCTATTATTTTTTAAAAGATATAGTAATTGTAGAGCTCAAAAGCAATGTTGATTAATTAATTCCTCAAAAAAATAATAATTCCAATATTTAATAAAAAAATTAAAAATCAACTTTGTTCTATGGTGCATAATTTATAAACTTTGATATTTAATAATCATATAATTTTGAAAAAATATCATAAATATCCTTGAAATTTGCTAGAAGATCAAAAATACTCCTATATCCTTAATAATATCAAATCTATTCCTCCCTTTTGTTATAATTGCAAATTTGACCTTCAATGTGATAAGCTATAATCTTATTTTTTTTAGTTGCAACTAGAGCCCAAAGTTTGTGCTATGCAAATTTTGGCATGGCACTTTGCCTTACATCTTAGGCACCTCATAAAATGGATGTAGTCCTTGTTGATGCCAATGTGGATGTATGTATGAGCTACATTAACTAGTTCTACTTTGGCCTTCTTCTTGGTAATGGTATGTTGATTAGGGACCTCTAGTTCCTCTGAAGTTTTAGTACTACAAGTATACACTATGTTAACATATGCTTTAAGATTGAGCAGATACAAAGAGCTTTGAAGTTATGAAGCAATCTAGGGTAAGAAATTAGATTTTGAATGATGGAAGCTTAAAACGTCAAGTACTCAAGAAAACTAGTTGTCTTGTATATTTGATAGACAAAAATAAATGTGCTTTGAGAAGTATTGTAAAAAATCTTTAAAATCCTTATTATATCTTAATAAGGGAAGGAGTAAATTCAAAAGCATGCATTTTTTATCCTTGTTTATATAATTGTATGAAACGCAATTTGCAATACTTATAAAGAGTTAGTGAAAATAACTCTAAATCAATTAATAGAAAAATCCTATAATAATATTTAAAGTCATTCTCAAATTTGTCTAAAAATAATTCTAATATTTGGAGTATGAAGACAAGATGTGAAGGTTTAATGTTGAAGCATACATAATAGAATCCACATCTTAATAAATGCCTAAATTGCAAAGGAACATTCACTAGAAATTGATTTGCAATTATAATAAAAAGAAGGGATGAATTTGATATTATGAAGAATATAAGGATATTCTTGACATTTCAGCAAATTTTAGGAGTCTTTGTAATATTATTTTTATAATTTTTATTGGATTTAATTAATTAATAGAGATAAAAAAATTTAAAAGAGTAAAATAGAGAAAAAACATAATAGAGAAGAAGAAAAGATTGGACAAGTAGGAGATTAAATTATTGAATTGATATTTTTATAAAGAATTTAATTATCTTTTAATAATTATTTGAATCCAAAAAATGATTGTTGGATATTTTACTCTTAAATTTTAATTATTCAATTTAATTAATGATTAAAATTAATCAATTTCTAAAAAATTATATCATTCTAATAATTAATAATATGTAATAATTATTAATTTATGCTCTAAATAATATTAATTAATAAGAAAAAAATTATATTTAAGATAATATTTTTAAATATACATATATATACATATATATATATATATATTTAAAAGAAATTATATAAAGGACCTTTTAAAGAAATAATTACAAATACATGACACAAATTGAAATAATTATAAAGAGAGGTGCACCTACAAATTAAAAATTATTACAAAGAAGGCACACTTATATAAATAATTACAAAGAATAAAAATTAAAAAATAATTTAAATAGAGGCCTAGTTCTCTTTCTTGTCTTTGAATATAATCCTCATCTTTTAATTGCCTCACTTCTCTATGCATGATCCATTAAGCCAAAGGTTACTTTTTAAAGATTAGACAATGGCAACCCAAGACAAATTGGTTGTTGGAACAATGTTCTCTACAACCAAAGATGATCATAGTGATATTATAAGCTATTCTATCCTTGCGTCTATTCTTTACAAATTCCGAGCCAATAAATCTACATGCATCAAGGTTTTTTATTCAAAGGAGGAAATAGAATCATGTGTTGAGTATATAAATAGTATGTATTTGTTTTATATTTTGATCAATCAACACAAAGATGGATTGCTTCACATTGTTAAGTTTGACATTTATGTGCAAACATTCATGACTTTTTAGAAATTCTTTTATTTCAAAGGCAATGAGCTTGTAAACTTTGTTGAATTTCTTGTGGGAAATATATAAAGCTTGCAACCATGCAATATCACCAACTATACACAGATTGAGTTTATGGTAGAAACAACATATATGGCTTCTTGGAAGAATCATAAATTAGACCAGAAGCATTTAGTAGAAGACTACAAGTTAAGGTTTCAAAAGCTTATGCCACTAAAAAAATTAGTCGCAAAAAATCCTAATAGTATAATTGCAATTGCAAGGACAATTGGGAGCAGTTTGTTAAAATGTTCCTTTACTTTCAGACATGAAAAACTACAGCTGCAAGTTGTTGCCTTATATTCACTATAAATGCAAGCCACTCAAAGGCAAGATATCAATGTATCTACCTTGGCTTTGGTTGACTAGATTGGAAAAATCATCTTATTCATGTTACTTTTAAAATTGCCCTAATTGAGAACAATGAAAATTGGACATGGTTTTTTTTACATGCAATGACCTTCCTAAACTTTGCAAGCATTAAAGTTATCAATAGTCACAAGAATGTGAGTAAATTTTTGCCTTTTAATTTAGTGTTTGATTTTTCATTTGGTTGATCCAAACTTCCATTTAGAAACTACAATGCATGTGTTTGCCACCTCAAAAAGAATATGAATTGCTTCTAAAAAACAAAATTGAATGGAAAGATCTAGGTAGTTATTATAGATGCCCATGTAGTTATGATGGTAGACATCCTCCCCCCAAAATAAAACATATAGGATAACTACAAAAAATTGGCATCCCTAGTTATAGTGAGACCAATCCAGAAAACCAAACTAAGTGCTTAAAATGTAGCAAAAAGGGCCACATTTTTCATACTTGCAATTGACAACACAAAGCATGATGGAGCTCTTCAAGATGAATAAGATTATAGTAATTTGTGATATTTGATATTCACAAATTATACATGCAATGATAAAGAGAAGCAACAATAATACACTTTATCTCTCTTATAATTATTTTTGTGGATTCATCCTTCAATGTGTTTATTTATTTATTTATTTATTTTTAAAATTATAATTTATTGAAATATTTATTAGAAATAACTTTGAATGTAGATGCTAATTTTTTAAATCATACATTTATCTTTAAAAAACTTCTTTAGGAATAAATATACACAAAATATTAAATAGTATACATAGAATAAAAACCTAACTTTTTGAAAATCTAATATGATGAACAACATAAGATTAATAAGAATGCATTACATTAATCTAAAAAAATTAATGTTATGTATTTTGGAAGATGTAGAGATGTAATTTTGAATTGTCAAAGTGGTAAAAAAATAATAAAAATTTGCTAATATATTCTAAAATCTATGAAGAAAGATTATTATAATAACTTTTGTAATGAGACATGAAAATTTTAATTCAAACATATAAAAGATCTTATTTATAAATAAAGGATTAATTTGGAATAAAAATTTTAAACAAATGATTACAATCTACAATTTTCTAGTATTTGATACTGATTTGTAACAGTGTTTTGAAAAGGCACATCACTTATACTCTTTTCTAAAAAAATCGTGGATTTTATGTTCTTAGTACTCTTCACAAATGTATGTTTTTTTTTTTTTTTTTTTTTTTTAAAGACATCTAT